TTTTATTTATGGTGTCCGGTCAACGGATCTGGAGTATCTTGCGTAGACAATTGTTGATAAATACCTGTGCTTTTCGATGGTGATTGTTTTAGCATCGTACAATCTAACTGTCTTGACGTTCTCAATGAATATCCTGACTTTGGTGTTGGCTGGGAGTTGTTTTGAGTTTCATATGTTCTTCAGTTGCAGGAATGGTGCCCTTGCTTTGCCAACCCGTCCGTTCATATCTGCATCAGATCCTTCTTGTTTATCTATAATTCTGCCCAGATGTGTGAGAGTCTCTTCTTCTTCTTCCTCCAGTGTTTCGGCACCAAGTGTGGTTGGGTTATTGTTTTCTGTGTTTTATTTTAGGATTTTGCTTTTCCCTTGTTGAGGCTCATTGCTGCAGAGGCTGCTGGTGCACTGGCTGTCTCCACTTGTATTTACTGATGTGTATGTGATAGAAGATCTAGGCTGTCTGTAAAGTCCAAATCGTCTGGTTGATTCCGAGCTGTCCATCCTATTTCGTGTTTCTCATGAGATGTAATCCATTCGAACACCAGAAGAAAGCGGATGGGGAAGAGTATGTAGCCATGTCTGACACCGGTCTTCACTTGAAATGCATCTGTCAGTTTTCCTCTATTCACGACTGTACGGTGTGGTCCGTCGTATCAATTTTGTATGATGTTGACAATCTCAGGTACACCGTAGTGTCTAAGAAGGTTCTATCCACGTTATCAAATGCCTTCTCATAGTCAAGGATGTTGATGTATATTGATGAGTTCCATTCAACCGATTGCTCAACGATTATCTGTAGTGTCATGGTTTGGTCAGTACATGATCGATTCTAACGAAAGTCAACCTTTGGTCCCGAAGTTGGGCGTTTACTGAATATCTCATTCGGTTCAACAACACTTTCGAAAACTTTGTCCGGTACTGATAGTAATGTGATGCGTCTGTAGTTCTCACACTTGCTTAGATCTTTCTTTGGTATCTTGATGAGGAATCCTTATTTCATCTGTTTGCCCTTGCTTTTCTTCCCAAATCTTACTGAATAGAACGTGGAGCATGTTTGTATTTCTATGCCTGACTTCAGTGCTTCAGCTGGCATGCTATCTGGTCCTGCTGCTTTCCCACTCTTGATTTGTCTGATGGCTGTGCTGATTTCTTCCATTGTTGGTGGAGTAGCATTTGTAAGAAGATCTGTGTGTGCTGCTTCGATGTCTGATGGGTTCAGTGGGGCTGGTCTATCTGAGCTCTTCAAAGTACTCTACTCACCTGTTCCGTTGATCCTTAGTTTCCGTAATCGGTTTTCCTTGTTCTTGACTGGTCTCACTTACCTACGCCTGTTACTCCTAATGGAGCATAGGCCACCGACCAACCCACTCTGTCCTGGGCCTTCTTTTCTAATTCCATCCAATTCTTGTTCATTTTTCTCATGTCTATCTCTATTTCCCGGCGTAATCAGTTCTTTGGCCTTCCTCTTTTCCTTTGGCCTTGAGGATTCCATGTGAGGGCTTGTCATGTGACGCAGTTGGGTGCTTTCCTCATGTGTGTTCTATCCACTTTCAGCGCTTCTCCCTGATTTCTTCCTCCGCTGGATCTGATTTGTTCTTTCCCACAGTACGTTGTTGCTAATAGTGTCCGGCCAACGGATCCGAAGTATTTTGCGTAGACAACTGTTAATAAACACCTGTATCTTCTGGTGTTTATTAACTCCGCCTGGAGTCCCTCGGGGGGCCACTGCCGGTCCTAAGCCCGGATGAAGAAGGAGGGTTAGGCATGGGGTTAGCGACCCCATCCCGTGGAAAACTAACTCGCTGAAAAAAACTGGTCGCACTGGTTTACCATATTTCCTTGTTATTTTTTGTCATATAGTTTAGTTGTCTCATATCTCCTTGCAGTTTTTCCGTCTCTCGTTCGTAGGTATTCCTCATATTTCCGCTCATCAGTTTTAATGCTCCTTTTCACTTGCCTATTTGGCTGTGTATTTGGCCTATGCCTTGACTTTGGTTACTCTTGTTCAGCTGTTGATTCCTGTCTTCTTGTTCTCTTTCGTGAATCTCATCCAGGGTATCAACAGAGATAAACTCTATGCTGATGTTTCTTGCAGCCCTTCACTCCATGGCATGTTAAAGTTATTGTTTCTTCAACCCCTTTCCAGTTGTTCCTCATAGTAGTCTCCTTTTCTCTGAGTAGATCTCGTAAGGCTTGGAACTTACGCTGAGTGCTATCTTGAGTTCGTTGAGTGCTGTTCGTACAGTTGTCGAGTGCTTCTTTAGCTTCAGTTTGATCTTGACCACCAACAGGTGGTGATCTGAAGCTATGTCAGCTCCTCTTTTGTTTCTCACATCTTCCATTGGCCTTCCTAATTTTCTAGTGATGCAGATATCGATCTGGTTCTCTGTAGCGTTATCCGGTAAAACCCATGTAGCTTTGTGTTTATGGGGGGAGGAGATGGTGTCACCTATAATCTTTTTTGTTGAAAGCGCGTAAATTTGCAAATTTCTCATCATTCCCTTTCTTTTATCCTAATCCGCGTCATCTTATGATATCTTTGTACTCGGTGTCGTCCATTTCAACCATGGCGTTTAGATCTTCCATCGGGATGGTCAGATCCTTTCCTGGCCATTTCTCTACTATAGACTTCAGCCTCTCGTAAAATTGATCGTTATCTTCCTCGTTGCTATCATTGGTGGGTGAATACCACTGGATAAAATTCATTGTGATCTCTTCTTTCTTTGTTTTGAAGATTGCTTTGATGATTCTGGATCCGTGAGACTCTCATCCTATAAGTGTTTCTTATAGTTCTTTAAGCGGCAGCAGTACAACTCCTTGTGTATGCGAAGCATTCTCTTCTTCATGACCAGAGAACAACATCAATTCTTCTTGAGTTAGCCTTTTTTGTCCAGCTTGCATCCAATGGGTTTCATTTATTATAAGAGCCGCCAGATTGTCCTCTTGTCTCCGCCGATAATTGTACGGTCTTCCTGGTTTCCCACAGTGCGAACGTTCTATCTACCTACATTAATTGTTGCTCTGTCTGCCAGAAGGAGTATCGAGCTCGTGATTTCCAAAGGATCTCGGCTTCCATTACGAAGTATTATAGCTCTTTTAATTGAATTTTTTAAACTCCCAGGTTGGAGTTTAAATAATTCTACAGGACGTGGTCGCTAGCCTCATGCCCAACTGTCCCCCTTTATCCAGGCTTGGGACCGGCATTAACCCTAGAAGGGCTGCTGTCGGAGCTTCAAACCAAATAGTGAAGGCTAAACATGGTTCTTCATAACTATGCTGCAGTAAGCGTTATCTGTTCATGTTCAAAAGTGACATAGCGAAATGTGATCATTTTGAACACTGATTTCGAAGATTTCCTGGTAAGTAATAATATGCGGAGCTTAGTTTGTTTATTGATAACCTTGATACTAACAAATCTATGCAGTATATAAGGTAATTTGAATTATCTGATAATATTATATTGCAGTTAGGTAAGTTACTAAAAATATGTGATGCGAATCAAACGTTTCTTAAATCAGTCAGAGATATTTGAATAATTTTGACTGCAATCATCAGATTTTTATATCTTCTTAGCTACAGTTATCTTTTTTAAGATCTGAAAGAAAAAGATCCTATCACTAAGTCTTAGTAATGAATTTAGATAACTCACTTTTGCTAACCCTCTCTTGTATGCAAAAATGTGTTCATTATTGAAATCAGTTTCTTATTACCAGAGGATTCGTCAGCCAATCATTATTCACATGGAGCACGACACACGTACATCGGTTCAAGTTCTCGTACCACATCACCCGAGAGAGATGGAATTAACAAGGTGAATAGCAAATGAACTGAAATAATAATAGTACCAATGGTAATGAGAAAGATTAAACACTGTGGAATATATTTTGAAAAGAAGAGATGGATTCAGTGAATAGAAAAATATGAAGTAATTTTGAATCTCAAATCTGCTTCACCCAACCTCAAGCAGGTTGGAGTTGTCTCACAGATGCCAACCAAATAGTCTGGGTCTACTAGTACAAAGCAGCCCAATATTCATTGACTTCATGAACTGATACAATGTTTTGATTTTACTGACAATAGCTTTCTGTCTACATACCCCTATCTCAGCCTGGATTGCAAGTCATGATGGGGAGCGGCTAAGGATGAGTAATACATATCCTAACCACCCTAATCGTTGAAGATCCGTAGCCTCATTAAATAATTTGTCATCTTTGCTCGATATCTTACGTCCAACCTCAGCATTGCTCACTCGGTGGTCCCGACTTACGTGAAAAATGCTTCAAAAACAACTATGATCAAATAACATTAACTTACTTATATCCCTTACTTGAAAGTCCACGTTTCATCATTGTGAAGTAAAACAAAAATAGTGGAATACTGCAACATCTTTGCTTTTCATTATCCTCTAAACCCTCCGAAATGCGTTTCCGAGCAATAAGACAACATGTAAATCATATCTGTACTAAATTCTCGAATTTATTCTATTTCTACTTACTCAATAACTTATTTTGTTCAATGCCTATAAGGTTATTCAGAATAGAATGTTAATAGTAATATGAAAAGAGACTGAATATTTTCTTACCACTGGTTAAAAAGCAGTTAATGCTACTATTGTTTCCATGATTGTCTTACTTTGAATGAGCATTATACTGTTGATGTTTGGATTCCACAATCCGAAATCTAACTCACCATTCTTGTTGGAGAAAGTTAATATGGATCATAAGAGTAGACGAATTTCACATTTCTCACTTCAAGACTTAAGAATAAAGATCAAATATTGGATTACATCACAGTCATACCTGTTCCTCTATACTCTTTAATCAATCACGTTTCTGAGATGTGTCTAATTAGCATATAATTGTATGGTTTTTCCTCACAAAGCTCAGTTTAGTCGGGTTGGGTCATTTTCATTAAATGTTAATTTCTAGCCTGTTTAGACCTGAAAATTTATATTTATATTTGCCTAGATTTTCTCTCTGTTTATAAATTCTTGATTTAAATAGTTTGCTCCTATGCCTCTTGTCGGCCTGAATCTTCCGAAAATTCAGTCAGTTATACAAGAATTTGTAGAGCCAGTTCCTGAACTCCCCAAAACTAGTAATGAACATATTTCATCCATGTGTAAACTCCCAACTCTCAGTACTTCGCAACAAACTCCTGAAGAGGACGAAGCAGAAGAATTATTTGGAGAGATTCGAGATTGTTTTGATGTCTCAGTGGGTCCATGCTCTGATCCTGATCAAATGTTATTAACAAAAGAAAGCTTGGCTCGAAATCCAGACATCGATCATGAGCTCTGTCTTTCAATGCGGAACTGCATGAGATCTGCTGCCTACATGAAAATGTCAGAATCCAGGTGTGAACTCCCAGCATACCAATTCAAAGAAGTGGGTATTTAGTTTATTGAATTATATTTGTACAGTTTGATGAGTGGGATTCTAGTACCTTGCATTGGCAATATATTTTTCCGACCTCTCCTTATGATGTAGGATTATAAAGAGAAATAACGACAGTACACTTCTAATATAGTTTGTAATCTTTTTAGGGTTAATACAATTATTACCTAATGTGAAAAATTCTATATATACCAACTACATACTAATCAATCAATGATGTTAACAAATATTCCTAATATAAGACAGGGAATATACCCTAAAGATGCAAAACAAATCCGCTTCAGAAGTTTGGTTTGTATGATGCTGAAGTTGAAAATTCGAATTTACAGTTGCCGCTTCACATTTAATGTAAGCTTGTTTTCCGTACTCATATCTGCTAACCATAGTTTCTTGGAAGAAATTTAGTTTTATGGATTGTTCAGGTCAATATCTTAATAATTGGCCTCGAACTATTTGTTTGACCATATTCATCTTGAAGCTCAATAAAACGTCACATCAATAACGATATCTTTTTTTTCTTGAAAATATATTTAATATTAATAAATAACCTTCATATACAATAACATCCACTTCAGTGTTCTTTTGTTCTAGGATATTGTCTCAACTATTCGAAATAACCAAGTTGTTATAATAAGCGGTGAAACAGGTTGTGGGAAGACTACACAGGTTCCACAGTTTATTTTGGAAGATCAGGTCTTAGGTGGAAATGGGTCTGTTACGCGTATCATTGTAACACAACCTCGGCGTATAAGTGCTGTTTCGGTTGCTGAACGTGTAGCAACTGAAAGAGGACAATCTATAGGATCTTCCGTTGGCTATCAGGTCCGATTAGAACGCCTATATCCTCAACGTCCTCATGGATCTATCATGTTTTGTACGACAGGAATTATTCTTCAATGGTTTCGTTCTGATCCATTTCTAAAGGTAACTAAACATTAATCATTTTTTCGAGTTATTTACGATTTTTCCGTACCAAACTGTCATAATTCATCTTCAATGATGAGGAACAAAACCGGATTTATCTGTGAAATACACTTTGAGTTAAATTTATTGTATATAAATTAGGTGAGTGAACCTTCAAGGTTATGGCCAAGAGATCGAAAATGTTTTAGCTAATGAATTAAGTAATACAGTGAGCGGACCCCAAAGAAAATTTATTATACAATTACAATTTCAATATACCGCGAGTTCTGATTTAGTCTTGATTTATGAAATATTCACATTAGAATCGACGTTAATGTTTATTTTATTTACTGTCAGAAGTTAAAGCCTTGTAAGTGATGTTTAAGGTCGATCAGTACTCATTAACAATTTACCATGGTCTCAACCGCTGAACTAATCACAGATTTTGTTTTTCCTGTGTCTTCTCAATCAGAAGTTTACTTTAGTGGTAGTACTAACACCATACGAGTTTATAGGACACAGAAACGTTTTTTACTTTGTTACTTTACTTCCCATTTTTATCATGTATTCACTGAGTTAACAAAATGCTAGTTTAAATCTTGACAGAAATTAACCTCGACAATAAACTTTGCGCTACGCTATACTTTGAATCTCTTCGTTATAGAATATCAGTCATATCATTGTTGATGAAGTACATGAACGAGAATTTTTATGTGATTTTCTATTGTGTATGCTAAAACGAATTGCTCCTCTTCGTCCAGATCTTCGAATAGTTCTCATGTCGGCAACAATCAACGCAGAAAAATTCGTTGAATATTTTGGTAAGTATCTATTAAAGTGCTTTCATGGTAGGGAGTCGTAGTTTAGCCGGATTGACTATATAAATTAAAACTTCTTTGCTTTATCTCCAACATCCCTATCACTTTCGAAATGGTTTTAAAAGATTTACATATTATTGTTACATAATATAGCTGTCGTTTGTATGCACTTGAGATTTGATAAATAAGGTGGGTGTAATTACGTAAATATTTTAATCGTTAGTGGATGGAATATTCATCATTATATTTCAAAATGTTTTACTGTATTTTTTAAGCTGTGCATCGTAAAAAATGACAAATATGGACATTATTTAAATAAATAACTTGCTATAATATTCGTTAAGATTCGTAGTTATAAGTTAAATTGGTTCGTAACATTTTCTGTTTGTTAGCAGGTTACCGTGTTAGCTTGCTCATAGCTTGTGGTGAATTCTCTGCAGTTATTTATTTATTTATTTGAACACATATATATTGGCACAGGAGTGCGCCAAATATATATGCGCCACACAAAACAATGAGAATTTGAAGAGAAGGGAAAAAAGGTAAGGAGCGTAAAACAAGAACAATAACGAACAGATTAGTGTAATATAGTGTGATAATAATAATGGGGGAAACAGAAACGTACAATCAGAAGAGATCTTTCAGTTAAGGAAGAAGCAACCACTTTTTATGAAGAAAGGTTACAGCAGGATCGCCACTGGCTTCTGTTCTGAGCCATATCTGATAACGTCTCTAGCCACTGTGTAGCACCATCTCTCGGACCCCATTCAGGGAGTCGTGAAGGACCGACAGAAGCCAGTCCTTTGCAGCTTTCTTTCATACCACGACACCATGTCATGCATTGACCACCTCCGCTTTTTCCAACCAGTCCCAGAGTCGGCAAATAATGCACGGCGTGGAATTCTCTGGGACGACATTCGTAGAACATGTCCAAGCCACCGAAGTCGGTGTTTCAAGATGGTGACACCAATTGCATTATCGTCTCTGTGCCCGAACACACGATGCCGAACCTCTGCATTACTAACATGTTGTTACCACTGAATGTCAGCAATCCTTCGAGACAGCGATGATCGAACACAGAGAGTCGTCTAACGTCCTCAACTCGGAGAGGTCAGATTTCACAAGCATAGAGCAAAAACTGCTCTCACCGACGCGTTCTAGGTGCGACCTGTTACACTCAGACTGACATTACGAAGGCGCCAAAGATGGTCCAGATTGGCATATGCCGCTCTGGCTTTCACTATACGTGCATTGATCTCATCACTCACACCCCCACCAGCACTTATGCAGCTACCCAGATACACGAACTCCTCGACTATTTCTATCTCCTCACCATCCAGGGTGAGTACAGGATTAGAATCCTGCCAGTCTTGTAGAAGTAATTTGCACTTCGAAGATGCAAAGCACATACCATACCTACGGACACTGATTGCCAACTGATTAAGTGCGGATTGCATGCCTTGGGCATTATCGCACAGTAAGACAATATCATCCGCATACTCAAGGTCGATAAGTCTTTCTCCAGGCAACAGATCCACACCACCATTACTTACATCCATCAGAGCTGTTTCCAGAATGTCATCGATGGCAAGGTTGAAGAGGAATGGTGAGATTGGGCAACCCTGCCTAACCCCACTGCTCGAATAGAACAATGGAGAGAGGTGGTTGTATGCCCTCACTCTGCCTGAGGTGTTTGTATATAGGACTTTTAGGATGTTAATAAACTTCTCAGGCACACCCTTCTTCAATAGACAATCCCAGAGAACAGTCCTATCCAACGAATCGAAGGCAGCCCTGATGTCAAGAAACACTACGATTGTTGGCCTTTGAAAAGCCTTTCGAAAAGCTCTGCCTATCGTCCAAGACGTCGATGAATGTTGATGATTGGCATCACATCGTCCTCATAGATTGTTTAGCTCACACCAGACTTCTTGCTGCCAGTGACTCGGATGAGTTGGAAGAGCTTCCGGTAGTTACCAGATGCAGCTGCTGCTTCCAGCTCATTAGAACGCTCCGACTACCGGGCTTCTCGGTCCTTACGCAAGCTTCTCCCGATTTCATTACGTAACAGCCTTCGTTTGTGATCAAACTCACGGTTACACGGAGTAGACCGACGAGCTTCAATGAGTTGTAAGGAACCAGAAGAAACCCAGTGCTTATAAGTGGGACGTTTCGCGAAGCTGCAAGCGACTTTACTCACGATTTTCATGGCGTCATGCAATTATACTGCGTGGCAGTTCCTTTTTTCCTACTTTACGGCTGCGAAACTTGGCTATTAAGAGTTGAGGATATTCGCAAGCTACTAGTATTTGACCACAGATGCCTTAGAAATATTGCTGGCATTTGCTGGGATCTCCGGGTAAGTAATAGTGAGGTTAGATGGATGGTATTAGGGAATGATGGTAAATCAGTTGATGAGGTTGTAAATCTTCATCGACTGAGTTGGTTGGGCCACCTGTTACGTATACTTGAACACCGATTACCACGGCGCTAAATGTTGACTAGTTTTGGGTATGGTTGGAAGAAAAATAAAGGGCGGCCAAACCAAAACGTGTCATCGGTGCTTGAAGTCACTAACTTCTAGTCTTGGCCATGTTGGTAGATTCAGACTACTTGGTTGTGGTCCGCATGACTATCGTAACAAATGGTCGAGACTCTGTGTGACATCTATTTTTGTATTTTTAAATCATCTACTTAATTATAGAAAGTAGGTAATTGGTTTCAGTTAATATTTTTTCAATATTAATTTTGTTTGGCTATTCAGTCGGAAAGAACTCTTCATATGTCTCACATTCATTTTGATGTTATCATGTGTTATAAACAACCTAAGACCTCATTGAATCTCAGTTTTAAACAGAAATTCTCCATTAGTATTAATCTACCTCAATTAATTTTAAGACGTCTAACTTTCGGCCACTTAAAGATTGTCAAATTTCTTCGAAAAACTGTTTGTTACTCCTTCATGATAACGAACAACAGCAAACTTACCATTGATATTTCCAGTAATTGTAAATAGACAATAACTGTTTACGACTACTTTTATTTTGGATTACCACTAGTTTAAAGGCAAAAGTTTTTCTGTTTTGACTAAGTCCGGCTAGTTGTCATGTAATTTATTCGTCAATCGAAATACGACTTATTCACTCTTGTACTGTACTAAACCAATGACGTTCGACCGATCTGATCAGCCTAGCGTCGTTATTGGTCCTTTGCTCGGATAGCCCTTCCAGTTGAGTCCAGAACACCAATAACAGCTTCCTCTATGCGAATCATTTATTTCAGACATACTTGGTTTATACACCAACCAAACAGACCGCATCGCACCATAAAATAGGAAATAACATTTATACAAAATAAAGCCAAAAGTGGCTGTGAACATGGGAAAACTGTAGTCAATAAACTGAACATAACTTAAGAACAGTAAATCGTATAATAATAATCTATAGGTCAAAATGAAACTTATAATAAGGGGAATATAGATATACATAATCTAATCACTGAATGGTCGTTTGTGATAATATTAGATGAAACATTTTATAGTAAACTACTTAACAGATCTTTATGAACGATGTGTCTTGAGAAGAACTTGCTTGCATAACCTAATGACTCAGTCGTCAGATAACACATTACAAAGGTGACTAAACCTCAAGTCTTTTTGCATTGTATTTCAAAGTCAGTTGATGCTATAACAGCCTTAATTAAAGAGCTACAATCTATACTTTATTTAAGGCCTTTAGTTCACCAAAACTTTGATTTTTGTTTGAACTTAGTCAATCTAAGAAGTAAAGATTATTGTTATAACTGTTAGAGATAATCACGAAGTTATAAAATACTGTTTTTTTTTCCAACCTTTCAAAATACTTCATCATCTGCATACAATCCCATTGTTCTACGTGAATAAAGATGCTTGATAACCTATTAATTTCTTGTAAAATACTTTGGTAAAAGTAAATAAATAAACAATTCTAAATGAAATATGTTTCATTTTTATTTTATAGTAAAATGTTTAAATCTTATTACTTAAATACGCATTATAGTCCATATTTATAATTGCTTACTGGGTTTTTGTCTTATTTATACTACGTCTTGAACATTCTTTTAAACTGACTGGAGGATTTATTTATGTATTTATGTCATAGAGAAAGAAGCCAGTACTGTACAGCTCTCTTTCATATCACGAAACCATGTCACACTGTTATGACTGTGAAAAATGCTGCTGATTAAGGGGTAGCGAATTATTGATCGGACCAAAGACGCGCAAACACGTAGAACGACCTAGGGTTCTGATTAGCCCCGCTTCCCTGTCTAGCCCAGCGAGTTAAGTCCAGAACGCAAGTCTCAGCCTCGGATATATGAATTATTGTATTTCAGACATACTCTATTTATATACTAGCCAAACAGACCACATCGTACCATAAAAATATAAAACGACATTTGTACAATATTTAACGAATGAAATAAATAATGGCCAATAGGAAATGTTCATTTAACGTCCAAGGACATCATTAGACTTAACATGATAATGATTGGCACATTATTCCTCAGCTTCCCTAACACCTCCTCTTTTTTTCGAAGATCCGGAGTTGATATCCGGATTTTAAAATTTTCTGCGTCCGTCCTCCCCCGCGAAATAACGTTGGGTCCTCATATACCCAAGTAACAGCTAGTCTGATTCTATTTAAAGCATATTTCCCGCATTGGGTAGAGAGTCCACTAGAACTGACTAGATGGTGAGGATCAGCGACACTAGACATGAGGTCATTAGGGTTTGATTCTTGTGAAACATTTCCATCAGATCTCTTCAAAATTCTATTAGTGGATAAAAGATCACTAAAATAAACAGCATCTATCAAAATTGTATTAGATTTCTGACCATTATTTGATGCATGGGACACATTTTCTGGCAAAATAAGAGGATCTTTTCGTGAGCTGGATACGCTACTGTCTGTACATGCTGTTTCGGGGATGATGGAGTTTGACTCCATTACCGGGCATGTTTCTGGAATGGAAAGAACTGGACCACTGGGCGTATCATGGGTGACTGCCGTTTCGTTTGAAGTACAGTTTATCGAGGATTCATGGAGGCTGCTGTCATTTTCCAGCTCACTGTGTAATTGAGATATTAATCCATCCACTTCCGTCGCATCTTCATAGCATGACTGGTTTAGCAGCTGCGTGCGGAATTTGACTAATAACTCCAAATGTCGTTCAAAGAGCAGCTGTAATCGATCGGAAGGGAGTCATTTTCTTTGAATCAGCACCGTAAATGAAAGTTACTGTATGAATAATGGCCAATGTCGTTCAAGGACACTGATAACAATCTGGATACTGATTGGTTGAATGATTAGACTGGATTTCGTCCAATTACAGAATGACTTTGGATTGTATCTTTTCTTCACCCCGTCGCCAGTTGTTATAACTGTGAGAGGCTAGGTTTCACTAGCATAGAGCAAAACTTTTCACCAGCACGTTATAGACCCGACATTTACAGCCAGACTAACATCACGAAGGTACCAAAGATGGTCCAGATTGGCATATGCCGCTCTGGCTTTCACTATACGTGCATTGATCTCATCACTCACACCCCCACCAGCACTTATGCAGCTACCCAGATACACGAACTCCTCAACTACTTCTGTCCGCTCACTACTCAGGGTGAGTGCAAGTTCAGAGTCCTGCCAGTCTTGTAAAAGTACCTTGCACTTGGAAAGTGCGTAGCATATACCATACCTAGGGACACTGAATAACTCGGAAGTAGACTTATCCCCCAATAGTTGTTACAAAAACGACATGAACCGTTTTCAAAGATAGGTACGTCATCCGGGCCCGGTGATTTGTAGCGCCTCAAGAGTTGAGCTTCCTTGCGGACTTCCGCCTCATTCGGTGGATCAGTCGTCACCGGTCATGGAGGGCAGGACAGTCTGGCCGATGTTGCCGGAGCAGCAGACCCGTTGAACTGCCTTTCGAAAAGCTCTGCCTATCGTCCAAGACGTCGATGAATGTTGATGATTGGCATCACATCGTCCTCATAGATTGTTTAGCCCACACCAGACTTCTTGCTGCCAGTGACTCGGATGAGTTGGAAGAGCTTCCGGTAGTTACCAGATGCAGCTGCTGCTTCCAGCTCATTAGAACGCTCCGACTACCAGGCTTCTCGGTCCTTACGCAAGCTTATCCCGATTTCATTACGTAACAGCCTTCGTTTGTGATCAAACTCACGGTCACACGGAGTAGACCGACGAGCTTCAATGAGTTGTAAGGAACCAGAAGAAACCCAGTGCTTATAAGTGGGACGTTTCGCGAAGCTGCAAGCGACTTTACTCACGATTTTCATGGCGTCATGCAATTACAACCAATGCTCATCTTTACTTTTCGGTGGGATGGTAGATATTTTTGAACCTAGCTCGGTTTATTATTTAGTTGCAAAATAAGCTGAAACCAATTTACTGACATCGATCCGTTTGGTACGATGAGTTTCCTAGCCACTGAAAAGTAAGGCAAGATTATCGCAAACAAGGGCATGATCAGAGTTCAGATAGGTACTCCAAGAGGAGCGGCAGTCTTGTACACAACCACGCCAGCGTAGCTGATCGCGATGTGATCAATCTGAGTCGAGACTTGAGATGCAAATGTGGGACACTGGGTAGCACATCGGCGATGACTGTATCGTTAGTTAGTGCTAGCCAAAAACAGGTCGTAGTCTACACACAGTTGCAGTAAATGGTCCCCGTTATCTAACCTGCGACCAAAAAGTCCCCATCGGCCACCTAAACGACTCTGTTCTATGCCTAGACGCCCGACCTGAGCATTCAAGTTTCCGACTATTACTACAATATCTGTCGAACGCATTTTCTGGAGAAGAACAGTTAACTGGCGGAAAAACCTATTCTTGGTCGCATCCGGGCTGCAGTCTGTCGGAGCATAGGTGGAGATAATGAAAAGACAACGCTTCTCACAATGATTTCTCAATTTGATGGAACATTCTAATCTAACAGCGATAACCGACTGTCACTGGCGATCCAATCGATCAGTGTTGCCTCAGTTCCAGTGAGAATGTCGAAGGGAGCCAGTTTGAATGGTATACGTGGTTTCAGAAAGACTAAGTATTCGTATTTGGTGGTGGATTTCAACTTTCAACCAGTCAGTGACTTGAAATTTTTTAGGTAGGACAAGGTTTTCACCGTAGGTGAGCTTCTGTATAAGTTGAAAATAAAATACGCAAAATAAGAATAAAGGGGAGTACATAGGTAACATAGTAGTCTGAGTAACCACTGAAACAAGAGAAAACTTTCCATTCGTACTTGTCATTGGTTTGTATAAGGGCTTTGATACTGCCCGGGTGTCCAAACCGAAGCAGGTGATTTTTTTAAGGAGCCACACCCCAAGCCTTTGACCTGAATGGCCAGTCCACAAGGCAGTGAAGTAATGCCAGGAGATGCAGTCCCTATGATGGCCAGTGACCGACAATAGGTTCATACGCCATTCGTTCCCTCATGATCCTGGAGCCCATGTACACCATTGGTTTGGAATCAGGGTTTCCCAACATTCATTTTTCGTCTCCTCAATTTCGTGAACAACACCCCGGTTACGTGGAGGCAGTGAGTAGGACTTCCCTGGCAGTTGTTATGCACGTGGCCATATGAGAGAATTTCGAGAGGGAGAGCAGACTCACCCCACCTTCGGCCATATCAGGGCAAACTTAGATAAGTTACTTCATCATCTACTTTTGAATACGATGATCAATTAAGTGAATTCTTATAAACATAGAACAACAGTAATAATATAATAATATGTATTCATTTTGTCGCTAACTGTTCACAACCTGTTGTTCAGTTCTTGTCATACTATCGCAGTTTTCGTTTTTTCTTGACTAAAATTTATAATATACAATAAATTCACCGTAACTGTAAACGACTACAGTTTGGATTTCCAATAAGCTTACGTTTAGTCATGATTTCGTATTATGTAAGTGGTTAATAGTTACCATTCTTAAATGTCTATTACTACATATCAGTATATGATTATTTCTCTGGACATTCAGAACCTTAACTTTGAAATCCGTTCTGAATCTGACGAATACCTTTGCTTTAATTTTTTTATTACTTTTAGACAATTGTCCTAAATTTGAAATTCCCGGTAGAACCTTCCCAGTGAAGACATATTATTTAGAAGATGTTTTGAGAGAAACTAAGTAAGCTGACTTCGTGTAATAATATTATGATCAATAATCACCCGGTAAATCGCACTCTTCAGTTACTATAAATATTTATTTGTAATGTTTCTTAAGTAATAATGTAACATCGACGTATAATTCCTAGTCTTGTTATGAGGATTACGATTGTAGTGTTATTCTTACGTGTATTATTCTGCTTAAATATTGTCTCATACTAGATAATTTCATTAATCAATGAATACTCGTTTGAGTACAGATTGTCACACAATAATCTCATTTTATGCTCTTTTTCCTACTATTTCATAAAGCTTATATTTTTATTGGTTCCAGCGGTATTCAGTTTCGTTTCTGAGATTTGATAACTAATCCACCCCGCACACTGAAAGAAAGTGACTTTTCAATTTCCTCTTTTTTATTTTTATAACTAATTAAAATATGTTCTGTAACTCGTTATTACTTATATTTCAAGTGTAGAAAACCTAACTGATATCGTTTTGATAGTGAGGAATTTAACCAGTTAGGCTTCAAAATGAAAAATTGCCTAGTATTTAACTTTTAATGAGTTCTTGAGTGACCATTAAAACTGACACTATAGGTTATAGCTGATTTTCTTTATGTAACTAAAACATCTTGATATTACGTTTAGTTGCTTCCTATATACTATAGTGATATGTTTGATCTATTTATTTTTGGTTTACATCTGTAAGTTTTTCTATTGATTATGAACTTTGTTTCTACATTCTTTATCATTTAGTATCAATTGAGTTTCAATTATATCAAGCAAAAAAATTGGATTGAAACTTTTTATGAATTTATTATTTCTCTTAGATTTTGGTTGCCAAATAATGCTATAACCGCTTTATGCCGTGATCAATCACGTACATTAAAACAGCGTCTTTTAAAATCTAATCTTTCAAAAAAAGAAGCTCGTATATTATCGTATGGAAAAAGCCCTGAATTCAATAAGTGGTTGCATTCATTAACAGGGTATGTTAAAGTTTTTAGAAAGAAAAAATATCTTTCATTGGCTTTTTCCCTCTATAATTTTCCGCGATATGAAAATATTGCTTTTTTGAAAAAAAGTGTACCAGATTCCCTCAAATGCCCTGGTGCATCTGGTGATGAGGAGAGTTATTTCCCTCTCTTCAAGTGCTCTCATATTCACACACATTCACAGTCCTTGTCACGGAAAGTTTTTCTCATAAATTCCATGCGGTGGGTGTGTTGTTAACAGAAGTGGAAGAAAAGCAAACTTCAGGAGCTCAAACTGGGAGGGTGGATACTCAGGTTGTGTCAAGAGGAGTTGGAGAACCCTAGTTCCAAATTATTGGTGTACAAGGCCTCTAGGAACGGCATATGAACATATTTATGGTCACAGTGTACCATGAGACATCGTTTCCCAATATTGCTCCTTCGCGTCATGGAATAGACCTTTAAGCCTAAGATTCGAGAAATGAACCCTCTAAGGAAACAATCTGCTTTCGTTTGAGCGCCTGAATGATATTCCAGCCCATATCCAAGTATTCTTTGTGGTTTATACTATTTTTGGTCCCAGTTGTACCAGATTTTCTGTGTTTTCTGTGTTCACTAACTCATTGGCACAGTTATCTGGTTGCACATTTAATATGGCTTTCTCCACAGGAGCAGTTTAATTCGTTGCTACACATGGATGTAGCAAAATCAGGTAACTTTTCTTTTATCAATCACCATAAGTGGGCTAAAAAACGATAGACAGACTTTAGCTGCAATAAAAGTCCTCTTCGCTTTAGTCACTCTATTTCTTAGTACATCTTTAGCCATATCCTCGCCAAATCGTAGCTTCAGGAAGATAGGTTTCCTACTAACCGTTGATTTCACTCTTTTCCTGTCCGTTTTGCCAACTTGCGTCTACCAACCAAAGGACGGGTTTACTGCGCAGCAGTTCGTCCCGTCCTACTTTATGGCAGTGAAACATGGCCGGTAAGAGTTGAGGATATCCGTAGGCTACTAGTATTTGATCATAGGTGTCTTCGAAACATTGCTCGTATATCGTGGGACCATCGAGTAAGTAACACAGTTGTTAGGAAACGGGTACTAGGTAAGGATGGCAAATCAATTAATGACGTAGTGAAACTTCATCAGTTGAGATTGCTGGGACATGTGTTACGTATGCCCAACCACCGACTGCCTCGATGTGCGATGTTTTGTTGTATAGGAATAGATTGGAAGAAAGCTAGGGGCGGCCAGACCAAAACATGGCACAAGTCCATGAAGTCACTGACAAGTGGACTGAGTCGTGTTGGTAGGTGTAGACTACCTGGTTGGGGACCGCGAGATGATAGCAACCGATGGTTAGAGACCCTGAATGACATGGCTCAAAATCGTTTGCAATGGCGCAGGTGCATCCACTCTCTGTGTTCTCCCAAATTCTAGTTTTCTGAATCCTTCATATCCCTTTTTTCTCTTTCCAAATTTATTTCACTGGATTATACTCCTTGAATGACATTTTCAAACCCTAATCTTTCCAGTCACTGCTTATACTTTTACTACCTTTACCACTATGGGATTTGAATCGACAGTTGTATTTATTTGCTAATGTCGTATAGCAACTCGAACCGATGTATGTACGTACGAAGTTCTACGTTGTTACTGACTGACTGACTGACTGACTGACTGACTGACTGACTGACTGTATAACTAAATATGACAACCCGAAATGCAATAGATATTTTATTTTTATTTCTAACATACCAAATTCTTCACCCTCTTCAAGTATATTCTTTACTCTCCAATTATTTAAGTACTTCTTTCTACACAAATTTATATTTTTATATTTTGTTATGTCACTGTTTTTTTCGCATCGTTTACTTTTTATCATGACTCTGTGTTTCAAGCCCTTTTTATTCTTATCACTAATATATCTATACTTGTACTTTCTACCTATGCTATATATTTTTTCTTTGTTCCTTTTTACTATTTAATCATGTGTTAATGTAATTCGTTTATTTATTTATCTATTCTGAAGAAGAAGGTTTACATTTGTGTGTGATGTGCGGGAAGTTTAATTTTCTGCTAACTTGGATATTACAAATACATTATTTATTTTTAAACATTCTATATAATTCTCAGCTTTAAAAGTATTAATCCAAATTTTGTTAATGATGACTACATGTTTTGTATTCGTCAAACCATTCGGTATAATCGACCATTATGAGTTTAATGATTTTCGCTACTTTGTTGGGTGGTTTCACTAATTAATCAATGATGGAATTTGTTTGCAAACTTCTTACTTAAATTTGTATTTAATTGTTATAAGATGGAAGTAGGTTAGACGTAGCGTCATTTTCAGTAGTGGTAACTGTATCATTTGTTTATAAACACTTGTTTTATTCTTATTCATCGTCAAATGTACTATGAAATATACACTGATAACTGAGGCACTAGCAAGATTAAACATTCGGATGCTTTAATTTTGTTAAGCACTTTTATTTCTCTCTTTTTCAATATACCTGCCTTATTTTTAATTCTTACCTATACTCTTATGAGTTTATTGATCTCATGTGACATTTTTCTATTGTTTTCTGTAATTACCCCTTTTATATTCACGTATTTTAAGTTCATGGTAACGTTTTTTGTAATCAAGCATTAGACTAAACGTTTTGTTATAATGTAACTGTACAGTTTGATTATACAATAAAGTCAAGGAAATTCTCCACTCTTGATACTAATTAGCCGTTTCAACTCAATGATATCGTACATGTTCATAAACTGGACGTTTGATCTCACATTTTTATAGTAGCTAGAAACGTTATTCAATCGTCTAGTGGTTGGAAGAGTTCAGTAGAATATTCTGTATAATTGTTTGTACTTGTCAATAGGGAGTATCTACATACTTGAAGGAACCTAGTGCTCCATTAAGAGCCCAAACCTAGTTCACACGTTTTGACAGCAAAAGATCACACTCTGATATATATCTTAGCACCTCAAACCTGGTTAGTAGAAATTAGTCAGTGGTAAAAGCAAAACATTTCTAGTGCATTCTATGTAGAAATTTATTAGGTATATTTTCAGGGTTACCCTGAAATATTCCCAATTTGTAATAAACGCAAGTAGATTCTATACTGCAATTAATGAATAGTGTTCAATCTATCTATTAGATTCTAAATCATATCGACCTATCTACATCCGCCATGATTAGCGTTTTTATTATCATTGTTATTAGATTTTATAATATGCATATGCTTATTTCTAAAGTAATAGGATCATCAGTTGATTTCATCGTTTAAATCTTGCAGTAACACAAATAAAACTATGTTGAAATCATGTTCCTTTTTGTAGGAAAAATTCCGACTTTTTATGCTTTTGTTTCTGTAACGAACTAAACATAAGTTTACTTAGTACTAATATGATCAGTGGTGTTATATTTCGATTAAGGGAACTATATTCTTCTCAAATTTATATACTAACCATGATTCAGCTTTACAGTTGTATAAGCCTTCTTTCCTTTAATCAACTGAAACATACGCCTTGACCAAAAGTGAAGTTTGAATTCTCTCAAACAAAGTGCAGAAATTTTCATCAGCTTTTTCTGAGATCAATCAATTTTGCAATTTTCATTTATCTATCTATATTTTTAATCTTTACAATACAGATTTTATAAGTTTCTATTAAGTTAGTACCCTCCATTTTCTGAATTACGCTAACTAAATATCTAGATGAAAACCACTTAAATGTTGGTGTGTTGGAAAAAATCACTGTTCTCCTGATGTTTAAAAGTACAGGAAAATCTAGATGATGATTTAACTTCAATTTCCCAATACATATTTCTATATATTTTGTCATAAGAATAAAGAAGCAATAACTTTCTGGAAATTAACATTTTGCAATTATTATGTACATTATTATTAATATTTATCAAATACAGTCTAACTTTTGCATATACTGGTTACCAGCTTAACCGTACATCTTGGTATTATTTATTAAAAGTCTCTAATAAAATTTTTAACTTTGAACATTCAGATTATCGTCCAATGCAATAGAAATTTTACGTAGTGTTGGAGAAGATACCTATCCTCAAACCGATCTTATTGCACATTCAGTTGAGCATATTTTACAGAATACACAATCGGGTGCAATACTTGTTTTTGTTCCAGGTCTTGTCGTAAGTCATCATCGTTGTGGTGGTGTTTGATTTCACTATAAAGATTGATATGTATGTACCATTCAGTATTTCATTACAACTAATTTTCCATGTTTTAGATGCGATACCATGTTATCTTACATCGTTTATTCACGATTGTTGATAACTTCTCTTGGTTGGCTAACTGTGATCAAATAACTTGATTGTAGATTAAGTGATGTTTTTGTTGGTGTCGTTGTGTAAAGAGTGATTGTAAATTTTTTGATATTTTTACTCTATACAGCGTCTAACCCTGATCAGTAATCAACTTGAAGCTCAGTTTACGTGAAATATGTCTTATATAATTAAATTAAAATGCCGGAAATTTTTAAAGTTAGTACAAAAAGATCATGAATCCTAAGTTTTAAATGTGTCCCTCAAAATTTGTGCGTGTCAATAAATCCAACTAATGAACTTTTTTCATACTCAAATAGGTATTCAAAAACATCCTGAACTTTAGTAGTGTGGTGCATGCTACTTATGTTGACAGATACAAGTAGTATGTAGCAGCGATCAGAAGTGGACTGCCTGAGAGCAGATGTACAAATAATGTACTTAATGTATGATTTTCACATTCTACTAAACCACCGCGTGATTACGCATCGAACAAGAAATTGGCTTCTCCCACCTGAATGTTCATTCACTACAGTAGTATTGTATTTTAAAAATATTTATTTTGATTGTTTTTCTGGGTTTTCGATACTGTAAAGAAGTTATTAAATTACTTACTTACGCCTGTTACTCCTCGTGAAGGAGCATAGGCCACTCACCAGCATTCTCCATCCAACCCTGTCCTGGGCAATCCTCTCCAGCTCCGTCCAGTTGTAATTCATCCTTTTCATATCTGCTTCTATTATCCGACGCAATGTGTTCTTTGGCCTTCCTCTTCTTCGCTTCCCTTCAGGGTTCCAAGTTAGGGCTTGCCTCGTGATGCAGTTTGACGATTTGCGTAATGTATGTCCTATCCATTTCCATCGTCTTTTCCTAATTTCCTCTTCAGCTGAAAGTTGGTTTGTTCTCTCCCACAGAAGGCTATTGCTGATGGTATCCGGCCAGTGGATGTTGAGTATCTTGCGTAGGCAGCTATTTATAAATACTTGTACTTTCTTGATTGTGGTTGTTGTAGTTCTCCAAGTTTCAGCTCCATACAGTAGAACTGTCTTGACGTTCGTATTGAAGATTCTCACTTTGATATTGGTTGAAAGTTGTTTTGAGTTCCATATGTTCTTCAATTGTAGGAATGCGACAAGTTATTAAATGAATTCACTTAAAAACAAACAAATTTAGCTTCAAAGTAAGTGGCATTATACATTATGGTGCCAGTTCGACAGGATTATATTAAAATTACCATTAATAAATATCAAACTATTTTATTTCTATTAATTTCTTGTGTGCATCTTTTTTTCGACTTAAAATTCCACTGTTTACTTTTTTGATTATATTTATCGCTTACTAGGAAATAAAAGATGTAATCAGATGTTTACGTGAATTAAATCCAAGACGATATGATGATCGTTATGGAAGTGTTAGGATTTATCCATTACACTCAAGAATCCCCACGTCTAGAGATCGCTCACTGTTCGAACCCTCACCAAAAGATCAAAGAAAAGTGATTATAGCAACTAATATCGCTGAAACGAGGTCAGTGAAGATTTATCACTACACTTTATTTCAATGTACGGCTGTTTATCCATCTATCTATCTGTTTATGTTTTTTTTTCAAAAGACCGTCGAAAATATTTGCTATTAATAAAATCGCACAGTAATAAGTAAATTACGATACATGTATGAAAGTAAATAAGGTTAAATTTTATGACATATATTCCAACAAATGACTACAACAAACGGCGAACTTTTACACCAGTCCCATCTATTATAACAATGACATGCTGTGAAGTAGACGTATAACAAAAATCTGATAAAAAGTCCAGCATGAAATAAAATGTGGAGAAAGTAGTTGCATTGAGATTTGAATGATTCAAAGAGAAATTAGGATTAAATACATTTGTTCAGTACTAACTATTGAGTTTTCTTATCTGTCTAATACCATCTATTAAGCTTATAGTTTCACTGAGATAGAACTAACGTTTTATCACTTTTGTAAACGATGGTAGCATATCTTGTTATATCTAACGATACGGCTTCAACTGTCATCCTGTTTTTCTTCATTGGAGTGCTCACTTTGTATGAGTAAAATATTTTGTGACCATTTCTCACTGAATCATGTGGATGCGGGATGAAAAACATTTAATTCGTTTATCACTACAGCTCATTTTAGTTCTTGACTCCGCATCATATGTTCATGGACCGCTTTCCTGTACGATGCTACACTCATGCCTAGATATGGTTTTGAATGTTTCACCATTACTCCACGTATCAGTTGGTCACTGATTTCAGGACATGAAATTTAGTATGTTAAATATCGTTTCTCTGATAGTGTAGCAAGAAGACAGTTGATCTAAAAAATGTGATGTATTTGAGTCATTGAGATCAACCTGATCATACGTACATTTACATATTAAGGCGTTTTTATATGAAAACCAATAAAGGCTAATTAAATAGGAGTTCGACAAATATAACGTGATAATAAGAAAAAAATAATATAAAACGATAAGAAGTTATTACACCACGGTAGGTCTTAAAATGAATTAAAGACTACCAGGATAGATTCAATGTTAGAACAAACTACAATGTCAGTTGAGAATTGGTAATAATATTTTATAAACGGACAAGAGAACCTCTTAGCCTACTGATTTATCATTTACTTTTCAAAATTACAGGTAAGACTTATTAGATTCTGTCATTCTTTCTACTGATTGTTAATGGGTTCACAATTTCAGTGTAAGGCTACATGTAAACCTGGATCAACCGATAACAATGAAAACATACTAAAAATATGATGCACATCTGCTACCTACTAACTGTCTATTTCTAAAGTGATTTTAGCTAACTTGTTATGTAAAAATGTAATACGTTTTTCTTTTGTTTGGAGAATTTGAGTGATCTGCTTTGTGAAAGTAAATACCTTTCTTTCTCTGTAGCATAACCATTCAAGACGTAGTTTATGTGATTGATTGTGGTCGTATCAAAGTGACAGATTATGATCCAAGACAAAACACATCAACTTTAACTGCGATCCTGGTTAGCAAAGCCAATGCAGCTCAGCGTTCTGGAAGAGCTGGCCGGTAAGGTTTCTTAATGTAAAATTTCAAATGGCTTCGTGTTCTGTCTTTCCGACAAATTTTATCTCAAATAAGGAAATTTAAATCTTGATCATGTTCTTTTTATTATATTATGCAAATTAATTTGCAATATCAAAGTAATAAATACTTTGGTGGTAGAATACGTCAATCACAAATCAAGTTTCCTTAGTGATAAGGTATAGTATAATTATTTTAAATAAAATGGTATTTATTAAGTTTCTCAATAATCAATTATAATTTCAATGGCTAAGTCAGAGAGTTGTAGTTGATTTTGCTAAATATTCTAACAAAATCCTAGGTCATGAAGGCAATGTACAATAAGAAAACTGCTCTTCACTCGTACTCTATGGTTCATAATTTTCTCATAAGTTTATTACGAATGTAGTGTAACTAGTCTAAAAATGAAATGTTTTTGATTAAATATCAAAGCTTCAAAAACATTTAACGGTTGTTAGCTCCTTTGTATACCATACTTGCTATCTGAAAAACGAAATCTGAAAGAATGTTAACGTTTATTTTCCAAGATATTCCTACATTTTGCGTGTATTAAACGTGTAAAATTTGTCTGTCGATTACTAAAATCAAATAGCGGGTTGTAATAAATTTTACATTTCCAAGTCATGCATCTTGATTATATTCTTTCTGTCAGTCTCGACAGTAATATTACCTGAAGACATTGCTTATTGCATTTTTGGAGATGATAATTAAAGACTTACTTCATTCATTTAAGAATGTTACTGATTCACGTTCCGCCATGCTGAACTGACCATTTGGAGTATCAGTTTAGTGTTATCTTGCTGTAATGATTTCAAATCCGTGGTGTACAATTATATTTTAGGCTTTAAGTTAATTCGAATGTTCATTATGGGTGTTCGCTAGAGAAACTATCTACTCAACTTTCAGCTAATGATTATGATTTAAAATTTAATCGGTTTTTATTCGAAACTATGAACCATACTTCAATACAAACAATCAAGAACGGTTTATGTAGGTCAGCAGCAGTAATACACGAAATATTAACCAATCCATTTACTACAAAGTCACCCAAATGCTTTAATATTTTCTTTAGTTTTTGTATGTAAGCCCTCTCACTTCTTGATTTTGAATTCCATTTAAAATAAACTTCAGTTGATTCCATCTGAGTTCTGAGATTTCTACACCTTACTTCAGCCTACCATCAATACCACGAACATTTAGCAGTATTCGTACCTTGTTGATACCTGTAATTACCTATCTGTATCTGAACACTACTGCATCGTTGTGATTATTTATCACTTAAAAGTATTCGTTCAATTCTAAAACCGTTTCTAAGTATCGTAATTTGTTAATTGTACTTCTTAAATATAGCTTACAGATAAAGCAATTTACTTATTAGCGTGATAAGTTTTCATCACATTTTGTACTATACTGCAGGGAGTAAAAATTATTTGACCTAAAAATACTTTATGATTTATTAATGAATTTGATATACTGATTCAGTTGTTTATTTCTACGAATTAAGTCATTTCAGGTTATTTTGCACTAATATTTAATTCATTCATGCAGAATTTTTCATTTTAACATCATCTCGGTTGTCTAATTATTCAGTTGTCAATTATCAACTATAATATCTATGTTATTAGTAAAATAATTGTGTGTATGATGTTCATCGGTTTCATGTTCTAAGTAAAAAGTTGCAAAGTTACTTGTTATCATGACTGCAACTGTTAACTTTAGATGGATAGAGATCAAATATCTATGTACCGCTCCGGTTGATTTCAGACCACTTAAGCTATCCAACCAGTGATTCTGTTCATGTCATGAAATTATACCAAGAATTCTACACGGAACATGTACCTCTCCTATAATCAATGAACTCATTTTCTGATTCAATGTCATTGAATTGCCGCCTATTGATCCTTTCTAACTTACATAATATTGTGTCTTTTTCAGCACTATTATTATGCCGATTCACTGTTATGACCTTGAATCGCTTTTACCCCGCCGATACTCTGCTATGACTTGACCTTGATCTGTCTAGTCTAGATTATGACCTTAACGCGATAGGCTGAGCGGCTTAACCTTGAGTCTAGTACGCGTGAGTTCGAGATGGGGTCGAGAGAGAACTATTCTAGAACCTGATTGGTTGGCAAGCACGCAAGTGAGAGAAGACAAGACAGTTGGAACACTGAATTCTGAATTCTCTGACTTCGGATTAGTGCAAAAAATGTACATGAATAAATAAGTGAATATCCTGACCACACGTACGATAATTTGGAAAAATACAATTATGCCCGAAACTGGGAATTAGGGTAGAAAATAAGATACAAAATATTATGTTTAAATTACAATATTTTCGGAACAAAAAAGGGTATGGCAGTGAATGTTACATAGAACGAAAGCTCATGTTATGTAGAATAAAATAGGGACAAAAATAAATATATGTTTTACAAGGTTTGAATGAAATGAAATAACGTCCCAAGAAAATAGCTTTCGTAGTTGTCTGGGCTTCTTATTTCCCCGTTCACAGCATTCACGTTTACACGTTTTTCGGTTTATTTTTTTTATTAGTTTACTCATTTTATTCATAGTGTTTACTGAAATTTATCAATGATTGGTTGATCATACTCTATTTTGAGTTTCAGTGCTTTGAAGCAAAATAGATGAAACCAAATAACAAAAGCCACAAGAAAAAAAATAAAACGGAGATAATAGATTATTCAGCCTGTCTATATGAACTCACTGATTTCTAAGTATGTCACTTAACCTACTTAAAAATAACCCAAACAATGATGGCCACATTTTTCTCACAGAGTTTAAATAAATAGCTAGTCATGTCTAACAATACACATAATGTGTTTGTGAAGTTTCAATGAGTAGAAAATTAAATTTCTAACGTTTTATGATTTGGTGTAGGCCACTTCTTCAAAGAGTAAAATAAATAAACGAATTTAGTACAAATTTAAGTAGTGCCATTTTCTATTTATTAAAACGTTAAAAACATTATTTCCATTATTAACAATCTACACAATGTTCATTCTATTTGAAAATATCAAGTCAAATCTTGATAATAATCATTAAATATTTATATTTTTATTAGTGTCTAGAATATTGTGGTTTTATCATCATAAATCTGTTTTTACTCTCAACCTTCAGCTTAGCTATTAACGTGCAAGTGTCACTCATTGACTCAGTTGATCTAACTTTTCTACTCGAACTATCATTCCATCTTGACGAAAATGATCTTGGGTAGTGCTAGGAGTGATCAGGCAGTTTTCACTTCCCCGTTCCCCACATCATGGAAGAATGCTCTTCCGTGTGTCACCTCATATCAGTGGGTTTTAAGTTTGCTAGTTGCTATCTATCCTTTCTATTGTTATATTTAACTTACAGATCCTAAAAACTAAAATACAATGTAGTCGTGAATAATGATTACTTTATTTTCCACCATTTCTTCGGGATCACATATACTCTAGTTATTTTTAGCACACACAGAATCAGGATTTACAACATTCATTAGTGAATGTCTCCAATCGTATGATCATGTTTACGGATGGTGGTAGGGTTACTCATGTATTTACTTAAAATGTTCGGTATATTATTAACTGTCTAAAGAACTTTTTTTCTTTCTGCATCTTCCTTTAATTACTCCTAGCGTACAACCTGGCATCTGTTATCATTTATTCCCAAGTTATGTGTACAATAATGTTATGTCAGATTTCCTACAACCGGAAATGTTACGTATCCGTTTAGAAGATGTGATTTTAAGAATAAAAGTAATCAGAGGTATTTTGTATTTTTTCTAATATTTATTCTTCGAAACTATTCCTTTTACATACTGTATACCAACCGATCACTTCTGTAATCCACATCAGTAAAATCCGAAATGTCCGTTTTGTCTTATTTGGGAACCTTCAGCTGGATGTACGTGGATACTAATTTTGATGTTTATGCTGTGATTTGAACCCAATACATTTTCCTCTGAACTCCAACGCGTTATACACTGAGCTGTGAATTCAAGATCGCTACTAAAGTGTTTTACAAATATAAATGTATTAGTAGTGGTTTTTTATACCCATTTTTGACTAAATGGGAATAATGAGGCAATTTGCTGAGGATAAAAGTATACCAATAAAATAATCAAGTCCAGTCCTTAATATCAAAAATGGGAAAGCTCAAGCCCCTACATATATGTAGTAATTCGTTGATAAATTCCTTTAATTTCTTATATACAAATGTGTCTTTAACAATCATTCACGTACTGTGAAATCTTAGATCTCTTTTAAAATATCAAATAAACGTCACATGCAACAAATATCCCATGTTGACTCTTAACTGCTAAGGTTCATCTGTGTTTATTGTCTTTTCATATTATGGGAAGTATTTCATTTCATTTCCGAAGAAAATGTTAATTTCTCGATGTCAAATAAAATTGCTTAGTTTGCACGAATAAAATTCCTTGCTTAATCTCTATGGCTATTGAAGCTGTATATTTGCATAAAACAGTTGGCTAGTGTGGTGAAGCAACTCGTTCAACTATCTCTGTTTGTATCTGTGTTTTAAATAGATCTAATCAATATTTGAGTCAATCTAGTAGTATATACTAACTTCACCAGTTCGCCTGATTGGATTGGTCAGCTATATTTATAGTCTAATAAAATTAAATTATTCGATCCAGTAAAATGTAGAATATACTTCTCATTAAATTCCTTAATGCATAATATTTAACTTGCATGTCGCCATCTCATGATCAATCATAATCGCAACAGATATTAAGCCTTTCCTTAAAAGTAATAATGTCTAGGAATTTTTCCCTTCCACTATTTTCTCTTATTTTCAGATTCTTTTACGAAGTCCAACTGATAAATAAAAAAAATAACAGAGCTTCTTTTTCATCTTCACCTTTTCTATTTAATAGATCACATCTCTCGGTATTAATTTAAACACTGAATAATAAATGAATGAATTTAATTGACCTACATAAAAGAATATCAAACACAAGTATATGTCAACTTTATATAAGTAGACTGCAGTGAACACACGTTCATTTATGAATATATTTATTCGATTTCACTAGTGTACAATTAATAGTGGACTAGTTGAAAAATAGCAAATTGAAAGAAAAAAACACTGACGACATTGATATTATATCCAATCAATCAATAAACTTGTTGCTATCACTATGTATTTATTTTATTATTATTGTTTCTCAAATTATTTATCCTCATTGTTTTCACGGAGTTACACTGTCAATCATGAACTCAACGACTTTTTCTGCTTTGTTTAGGGTTGTACACATTACTTAAAATAATGCATAGCTTGTTTTTAAGCGCCTGTTTGATAATTTTAGAGAGATTTACGGATGGTCGATCACCGAGTGGTGGTCAATATCATGGCTGTTTAGTTCTTTTAGTGCTGATCGACTTCTGTCCATCCCTTTGAAATGTGTTCACTAATTTAAGTAACTAAACATCGAGTGCACTATAGTGATATGTTATACAGTTCCCGTTTGTCGATAAGAAACCTTGAAACTGGGTTTTGTTCTGGTTAGCATTCATCAGCAACGCTTACTTATAGTCTTGGGGGGCACAAACGATCCTTGTAGGATCTGAACCTCCATCCGCTTTACGAATACCGGTTATCAAGAAACCTTGATGGAGAGTTTCTTGTCAGCCACCTATAACCACCCAGTATTTTCCCATGTATTATTAAACATATAGATTGTATTCAATTGGTACTAAATTTTTGTTGTTAGATTAATGAATTTACACCATTTGTAATTACAATTAGATTACAAGTGATATTCTTTAAAAAAGGAGTTGTTACTCCCATTATTAATATGAAATGATCATTGCTACCGAAAATAATAGCTTAGGATCTGTCCTAATAATCTATCGTATTGAATAAACATGCTCTATGAGAATATGATGAAGTTAAAAAGAAAGTAAATAAATGATGAGAAATCATAACGTCAAATAAACATGGTTTAGATTGTTTGGAGATTTACTTGTAGCATTATCATAAATGGAAATTAATGTATGCTGTAATTCAATTAGTTATTTGGACTAGTTGTAAATATATTTAATTTTATTATGTTTACAATTGAATTCATTTGTTTTGTACGTTCGCTTAATTACTTTTGTGTGTATGTTTTTTGTTTAGTTGCTAGGCCTTGATCGTGTAAAGTCTTTTTTAATCAATTGTCTTGATTCTCCTTCTGAAGATGCTATCTCAAAAACTTTAATATTTCTTAGACAAATTCAAGCTCTGAAATTAATCAAATCGGAAACATCGAATTTTAATACATCTCATTCAATAAAATATCATGAAAAAAGTCATAAAGTCAATCGAAAGTCTCTTCGAGAATTTTCAGAAGCTGTTAAAAAGGATGTAAATGCTGTTGGTGTAGATTCTTTGGATTCTAGTTGTATCCATTTAGATTCAACAGATGAAGATGATGATGAGTTAACTCCTCTTGGTGTACACTTAGCCAATTTTCCACTGGATCCACAATGTGCTAAACTCTTAATTTTCGGTGCATTATTTGGTTGTTTAGAACCAATTTTAGCTGTCGCTTCGTGCTTAACATTTCGTGATCCATTTGAAGTACCTTTAGAAAAACAACAAGAGGCTGACCGATGCCGAATAGAATTGTCTCAGAATTCTTTAAGCGACCATTGGGTATTTGCTACAGTTATTCAAGTAAGGTACTATCTTTTTAAAAAAATTCCTTTGATAGCCAAAGTATGAATTTTTTACAAGATCATAAATTTACCGACGTTAGTTCCATAACTATTTATTTCTAGAATTTCTACTAATTGTGTATATTTTGTGCAAATATAGATTTGCAAGACGAGCAAGAATATTTAACGATGCATACCAATAAATACGAAACTTTATTCTATATCCTTTACCGAATAATTTTGTATACAGTTATATATAATACAGCTTGTATTTAGCTTCAGTTGTCTATTTGAGAAAAGCAGGAGAGTATTCGACCAGAGAGTATAGTGTCCGTTTTTTTTTTGATAGTTTGATCTAATTCTAAACAATGAATCTTTCAAATAGTGTTAGTTCATAATCCCTTATGCTTAAACATATTAACACATATATTCTTGTCTTTTAAAAACAATCATAAATTCCTTCTGCTTCTCTAACATTAGGGAATAACTTTCAAACCTATTTATCATGTCTTCACACCGCCGACTCTCAAAATGAACACACATTTTCTGGAGGTTCTACATGAACTCGTGGATTATTACCAGCATAGACGAAAACCATATATTAGATAGCCTCTTGATTTCATGTAAATTGTCTGTCGAAAATGATGTGATAGGCTCACCCAGTCATATATTCTGGTATTCAAATTTTACTGGTTAAATTCTAAATTTTGAAGTTCAGTTAAGCCACGATACATTTCAATAAGCTTCTGAAAGTTCATTTACTAAAGTTATTTTCACTATTTCTGGGCCAAAGTTAGTATATTGAATTTCAAACAGTAGATGAAGCTAGGTATAAATCGATAAATCCGTGATCATAAAGCGAATGAGTAAACGACTGACAGCTCGTTATCATTGCAATGAAAATGTCCTATTCACTGAATAATATCTTTTGTGTCGTTAAGTTCTCATCATTTGTTTACAACCTGCAATATTTAGAAATCCAAATTAGAAAGTAGAATAGAAATAAATCTGATTGGACGTTGTTGTGAGCATACAGCTGAACAATATAGCAAAAATGTAATATAATGCAATATGTAAATGTAATATATGTAATATTTAGATAGTAATAAACAGAACTATGTGTTTGAGAGTGTATTACATCCCGGCTTTCATATGCTAACCAACCAATACACTATTTATTTGATTTTATGAAGTTTTTTTCTTTTCATTTTCATATCTAAAATAATGTAAAAAATTATATTTAGATGTTATGAAATGTTTCAAAAACTATTCTGTAGTTAAATACTTACAATGTATTTATATTCATTAATTTCACTTTATTTGCATAAAAAATTCCTAGAGTTATCAAGGACTTAATTCACAAATGGAACGTAATCAATTTTGTCGAAGATATTTTCTTAATGAACGTACTATAAAGGTAATTTAATCAATTCTCTATCACTAACTTTGAAAAATCTTGTTTTTTATTCAGATTAGTTCATTAGAATATACTTTGAATCTCTGTGCTTTTTTTAAAGCTCAGTTTAGAACACAGCAAAAAAATCTCATTTAGTGCCGTTCAATATGTTAAACAACCAAATACCAATAAGAACAGACGACCTAAGTGTTATAACCTGTAACCGCTGATTAGAGAGCAGTGACTTACCGATCGGATCAAAGACGCGCAAAACCCGTGCGAGCAGTCTAGTGTTTTGATTGGCTCTTCTTTACACCTAGCCCAGCCAGTCAAGTCCAGAACACCAATCTCAGCCTCTGAGATATGAATCATTATATTTCAATCATACTGAGTTTATATACCAATCAAACAAACCACAGCGTACCAATAAAATATGAAACAACATTTGTACAAGAATTAGCCAGATGTGGCTGTGAATGAGGAAGGCAGTGACTAATAGACAGAGCATAATTCAAGGATGGTAAAACGTATAATAATGGTTCATAAATCAAAATAAAGTTTATAATAAGCGGAATATGAATATGAATAGTTTAGTTATTTAACAATTATACGATAAAAATATACGTTTAGTATTGGTCCATAAGAGGATCCCAAAGTTACCATTCATTTTATTTATCGGGACCTAACACTAAGAAAAAAGTGCATCATTTTGAATAAACAACTGATTGCAAATGAGTCATCTATGTTTATGAGTTGAAATGGAAATCAACGACATTATTGAATGAAAAGCATAAAGTAACCGAGTTTAAAGGCAGCTGAATGGTGAATGTTTCTGGTTCTATCCAATCAATTTTGACGTATACCGCCTAAATACTCAAACCTTATCCAAACAGCCTTTGATGTCGTGAGATAGTTTCATATCTTGTTTTAAACTCTCACAGTTATTTCAGTTTTGACTATACTGATCAGTGTGGTGTTTCAGGGTAGGCGATTATCTAAGCATGCATCACAAATAGCACAAAAACCCAAGTGCTTGACGTTTAACTTCCTTTACATAGTGATATAACCATACTACTTTTTTATTCTTTTGACCATAAACAAACAACCCTCCGAAGACTTTAACAATCAAATGCCGTCAAACTTAACACTTTTTTATACAACCGAAAGACATATTTTGCGAATTTGTATTGTCGCAGATCAAACTACTTCCCTCCATACTCACTTATGATAGGTGAACGATATCTCCACACTATATTTGATTTATTCATAACTACTTCATATAATCCGGATAAGTAAATTCTTTGCATTTAGTTTGCTTCAGAAACGAATATGGTTTTAAATATGTTAATTCGTACTGGGTTTATATGTCAGTAAATATATTATCCTATGATAAATTCTTGACTTCATTTCAAGACATCATCATCGGTCGATTGTACGTATGTTATAGCTAATATTTGGAACGAAGTACATTATAATTGACCAGGTAGAAATGGTGGCATATGTATTGCAAATTTTTTTAGAATTAGGCGCTACATTGACTAAAGTGCATTGTTCATATATATATATATATATATATATATATATATATATATATATATATATATGACCAGTCTACATCAGTTTTATGCTTCAGTTGTACATTTGATAGCCCAATGTGTTGCATCGTCAGTATCAACCTATAAATCATTCTACCCATTCAATAATATTTTGCAGATATTGCTGTTGACGTCACACTAAACCTATTCTACTATTTTCGGAATCGGTGAATAAATCTTTTGAGCACATAAAACCAACATCGTAGACTGGTTACTCTGTATTCAATGAATCTGTATTAATCAATGATTTATGCACTTCATTTCCATTGAAACATCAAAATGAAAAGAAATATAGTTTTGAAATCCACTTTTCATTCCTCTCCTTTCTTTCATAAAAACAACATAAGAATTGGTACAACTTATGTAATTCACTAAAAATCTTAGTTATCTGTATGACTGAATACACACATTAGGTAAAAAATTATCAAAGCTTAAAACTTTGTTTTGTTGTGGAATAATTTTACTTAATTGTTCAAATACTAATTAGTATTTACTTTTTTTTGTTATCTCAGATTTTGATCATTCCTTAACTTCTTGCACAATTATAGTGATGGTAACTAACTGAGTGATTAATTTGTACAAATTTCTTTCCAATAAATTCAAATAATCAACTCCAATGATCTCAAATTTGCCTACCTCTTTAATTTTAAAGTACGACATTAAGGATCAAATTTGTCGGTGTCGTATTCCGTAGGCTAGATTATGTAACCGCAAGCCATTCATTGTCATTTTGGACAACATTATCAAAATTTAATTCATTCAGATGTGAGCTTTGCAGTTTCTCTACAAGCATCAAATTAGTTAGTTCTCATGACCTTATTTATGAATGGTTATTTTCATCTCTCTCTTCTTTTGTTGATGTTTGATCATTTGATTGATTGACCTTGTTTGTATGGGTGAGTAATTTGGACTTAGTCCAACGTGTTTATTGATTGTGGATTGATCTGAATTCAAAGTTCTATGACATTTTTAGAATCCTGACGTTTTCTTAGTCGGACATTGAATAATATCTATATAGTCGTGTTAACAGATTTAGCTAACTTGTAAATATTGGAATGAATAAACATCAAAATAACAGTAATCATAATTATACCTTGTGTTGTAGAAGGATGAATATAATCGCATTGCTTTATTGACTGAATAATTAGCTGGTAATTAACTTTTAGAAATAGTTCCCAGTTATTTCGTATTCAATTAGTACTGGTAAATTGTTTGCATATACATTTAATGGAATTTTCAGTCTAAAAATGTCATGACACGTAGACGTATTAGAATTATTATTAAAGTTGGATTTTGGAAATAATTCTATAAAATGAACTATAAATAAAACATTTTTGTTAACAAGTAAGATTTTCACATGTCATAAAATGGATATATATATATAATTTGTGTTTCATTGCTTCTCCTAGTTCGTAAAGTCATTTAGAAGTATTATTCTCGAAGAGCTCATATTGTTGTGTTTGTGACTTTTTACTTATATACCTAATAAATGGCTAGTATTCCCATTCAAGTTAAAGTCCGGTATCTATTACTTCAAATGCTAATATTTTCTATTTTATTGCTAAATTATGATAACTAATTTCAGAATCTAATCATTTTAGTCTTATGAACTTATCTCCATATTTTTTTTAAGAAAAATAAAGATTTCTTGCAATTAGTTTTTTACCCAAACATAAATTGTAGCCATTATTTTTTTTATTAGTAGTGATCGACTGAACTCAAAAAATAATATTTTTTTCGTACATTCAGGTCATTTATTTTGAACTAAAACTGACTTGATAATGAGATATTGGTACGCTGTGATCTAAGGGATACAAAGTATATAAAATTTAATCTTTTCACTAACACATTACACTTTTTATGATTTTTATCAAGCAGGGTATTGTTTAATTAGTTTATTGATTAGTGGTTTGTTTTTTGGAATAATCTAAAACCAGCTGTTCAAAATATAATACCTTTCGACGTGTAAAAGGCAACACTGATTCCATCACATTGTAAAAATAATTGAGATTTTTGTCTATATATATATATATATATATATATATATATATATATATATATATGAGCTGTGAAACTAATTGATTTTTTTTATCTACCTTTTTATTTCCATAACATTCAGTGATATACAATCAAATAGAAACGACTCACATTCTTTCCTAATGAATTGATTTTACGCTTATTAGTCTGTAAAAATTATTGATGTTCTCATGCTATTTTTCATGATATACTTCATGTGATCTCACTTCATAAATACATATATATGTGTATTTAATTTTTTTTTTGTTTGTTTGTTGATAAATGCAAATTACATTTCTGTCATTGTTTTTACTTATACATTCTCACCGATCAATGAAGTATCTTCGTGTATTTTTATTTTCACATCTATTATTCTAACTTTTTCATAGGATATTATTCGACTTATGAATGACTATGCACAATTGTTATATGAACGAAGGTATATTGCTACTCCGAAACCTAATGATTCGAATGCAAACTGTAATCAATGTAAGTTGCTTTTCCTTTCAAAAATTTTTTACTGTACTTAGAGAGCATTTCAAACGACTTGTTAATTGTTATATTAGCATACTGACTCAAACGCTCTATGGTCTTTCACCGTGGCAAAGAACTAAGAATATTGGATTCTATTACGTATTTGTGTGTTTGTAAGAGTGGAATGGTATGAGTGGTCATTGTTTTTTTACTATTTCACAATCCATTTATAACAAATAATGATAATCCGATCTATTTTAATACATAATTCCATATCACGAAATTCATCAATGAAATTTAATCCATATTGTTTGATATATGCATATTTTTATGTACTGCATTCTTACTAAATGAAATATTTGTTTTTTTTTATTACCTAATAAATTATTATACATAAGACTTATTTTAAATCACACCATATTATGTTAATCAAAGTACAAAAAGTGGTCCATAATGTCTCTCTCAAATACATTTTCAAAATCTATACGTCATCTATGATTTCGTTTTTTTTTTTCTAAATTTTAACTAATTAGTTTTTCTCATATTTGAAGAGCATTTGTTGATGGAAAATGGTCATTGAAAGTTTACTTTAATGTTGTATGAAAGTGTTCACTCGAAGTTAGTAGCAGTATCTAATTTATATAAGTTAAATTATTCTTTCGAATCACAATTATCTTTGATAGTAATTATTATGAATTTGAAATAATCAGGAATATTCTCGGCTCAATTGGTTACTTTTGGTGTTTTTTGGTTCTCTGGGCTACCAGGACTCACTAGCTAAGTGGATAACGCAATAGCGTTTGAAGCGAACGGTACTCTGTCCGAGTCCCGAAGTGAAAATCAGCTCTGGGATGTAGGTACATCCAGTTGAAAAGTCCAAAATAAGACTAAACCTGCATTCTGAATCCCATTGCTAGCCACCATGCATCTTTGCGCACAAGTTATTTACTTACAAATAAACTTTATATCAAAGATTTTCATCCTACTATACAATTTTATCTCTCCGAAAACTAATCAATATTATGATGTGCTGAAAAAATTCAAACCATTTTTTTATCTGTCCTAATAAAAAAAGGTTTTAGAGTTTCTATTTTCTTGTCAAATTCTTACTTTTCTTCACTGAAAATCGGTAAATCATGTAATGACCTCGTTGTCTGTTTAAATTTGTAAGTTGCTGATTTGTTGTTTTAGAAGGCTATAAATGAACTCTGCATACTAAACAGTTATATCTTCCTTTGACTGTTGTATAAGACAAAATCCCTATCGCAATCAAATCGTCTTTCCTTTTCTCATATATTTTAGCTTTTCTAGCAAATACAATTAAACCATGTTGATTGTATAACAGTGACATCGATTAGACGCCCATAATTCGTAGTATCTAAGTGTTTACTTACCGGAGCGTAACTCCTTAAACCACAAACTATTTTGGCATTGACTATAAAGGGTCGAAATTATCCTGTTTTTGATATTCTTAGTTGAATTATGACCAGTCTTTATTGATAGATGAGCATCCATTTATCCTATAAATGTTTTTGACAAAACGGTTATATCAATGCACTCTGCACAGAATGAGTCGAAATGCTAATTACTCGATAATTAAAATCCTTTCTAATAACTATAAATTTCATACCTGTTGTAGAAGTGAGTGGCTATCTGGACTCAATAACTCAGGGGATGATGCGTTCATCTTTTAGAGAAATAGACACTGTGTGCGAATCCATGCGTTGATGTCTACAATAAAATGCAATTATATGTGGCTATGAAGTCCCAACTAGGGCGTAATGAGCGTCCTGGCTTTCTCTATTGTCCATAACCCATCAGTTCTATGGAAATCTATTACTAATCCTTTCTATTTCTTAATCTTCATTTGATTAACTTTAGTATCATACCGTACCTTATTGTGTGGTGGTGGTGATGATAATTAATCAATCTCCTATTACTCACTTTTTTGTGTGTCGAAATCTGTAAAAAAAAAATTAAGAACCAAATTACACTAGACAAACATATTTTTGTTCGTTAATCATCTCTGCTCACCCTAGATCCCTGTAATACATCATATGTATTCATTTTCGTGGAATACGGAATGGAGTTTTTTTATCAAATATTAAATGTTTTTAAACTCATTCCGCCTTTTCCAGATAACTAGTACAACGGTGGCTGTTTACATAATGAAAATATGTAAATCGGTAATATTCTTGCATTGTATACCTTAGATTCTTATAACTTCAATAGATGGATAATCAAATATGTCTGAAAATACTTTAAAAGTGTAAATAGAATTCACAATATGGACAGTTGTTGAGTGAATAATGTCCTCCAATTTCAATGTGCTCTCAAATATTTTGGTCACCTGTTTTTTTTAATGTATATAAATATTGCAATTGGCCTACCCATTCTTGACTACTATAAATTAAGTTACTACGAATGCCAATTGTATTAAATCATCTACAATAAATTATTGTGATATTAAATACTAGAATACCGTTCTAGGCACATTTCCATTTTTATCTAAGCTTTGAAAAGAAGATTGAAAGATAAATGTATTTGGATTCAAACACCTTATGTATGATAAATGAAAAATTAGTTATAGCAGCTGAACTGGTAGAAAATTTTAATGATTTAATACATGATATTGACTGCTTAAAACATTTTAAAAGTATTTTTTTGAATAATTACAATTTTAATTTATGCTAAAGAGATATTTATTTCAGTATTGCATAATGATTTCTGAGAATTCCTTGTTGTGACATAATTTAGATTATGGAACTAGGTTATTTTTGGATTATTATTATTATTATCATTATTATTACAGATTGTTTTCATTTCATGTTTAAATGATTTGTGTCCATTAACTGATAATTTTTTGACCTAAATTTTTGTCTAATCTTTCATTTCATGCCAACATGTTTGTTGTAATCGATAAAAGAAACAAAAACATGATTTTCAATAAAATTGAAGTAATATATGGAACATGTTTAAAGTGTCATCAATTTACTAGAGTTGTTACAGAGTGATCGTGTATCATTTCATATGGAATTGCCATATAATGAGCAAAATGTAGGCCTGACATTCAGATCTCTATTGATTAAGGAGTGAGTGGCCTACAACTAAATTCAATTATGACATTGTATCATAATGATATTTTGTATATAAGTGCGCCATTTGATTACAGAAAATGCATATTCTCCAGGTTAGTGGTCTTGTTCTTGATTTTAAACTATCCAAAGACTTAAGTCAAGTATTTCATCTACAACAGCCATCGTTCGGCATGTTCTTCTTGTGTTTACTTTTAATTGCTGTTGCAAAATATTTGACTCGTCAAGTGAAACTAATCACAGTAGTAATATATCATAGTTAAACATAATTGTTTTCCAAATGGTACGTAGTAACATCTTTCCTCTTGTTTTTTAAATTACTATTTATGCGTTACATAACTATCTTTGTTTCCTTTTTGATGAAACAGGGAATATCAATCTTTTCCGAGCAATAATGTGTGCAGCATTATATCCAAATATTGTAAAAGTGGATCCAAGATTTACGTAAGTTTTACTATTATTCTCATTATTATTTGTCAGTCCTCTTAATAATAGTCTCAAATTATTGTAACGAATTCACCATGTTGAACGATAGAAATTAATATAGTTGTCAGTTTCATTTGAATAGAATAGTCAAAAGTTAAATTTATTCAAACTACAATTAACATTTAGTGAAAAGAAATCTTTAATCCATTACCATCGTTTCCTACTTTGCTTTATACATTCATCATTAGTCTTCAAGTTAATCCAAAATAATTATTATCTGAAATTTTCAACTAATTGACGTACTGACTTATTTTTAAATTCATGTTTTTGTTCGTTTATTAGAGTGTAAAATAATTTTCTTTTGCATAGTTCAATTCTCAGTAAAAAATAATAGAAAATAGTATTCAGTTGTTTGTAACTATGATCTATATCTTTAGGTTGTGTAAAATTAATTCACTTGTACACTTATTTATCGTTTTATTTTTAAGATTATATTGTATAATAAATGACCAGTATTATAACACCGATTAATATTTAAGCAAACAACTTTCAACTATTGTAACACAAGGTTAAATCCTTCTCTCTAATCATTCTTTCATTGTTGTCTTTGTTGACTATATCAAACATTTTTCTCAAACTCTAATGGTTTTCTGAACACTAGTTTAAATTAATCACTAGTTTTTGTAATAAAATTATAATCCTATAAATATTAATTTATTTCGTCCTTTTGTTATGTATTTCTTCGACATATCCAACTTGCCGTTTACTGGTAAGAAACGTCCTGTTAATCTCCAAACTCATAGATTAGTTATTTAAGTAGTAACGGAGCCCTGTAATCTTAGAAATATAATGCTATTGATCTGTGTTTTATTTACTACCCTGGCGAATGTATTTTCTGCATGTACTTCCAAAAATCTCAGTCAATTTGTGTTTCTGTTAATGCATAATTGGTATTTGTGAGTTTGGGTTGAAAGTTCTAGATAAATAAGATGAATTAATCAATTATCGGAATTCGTAGGATTGTCGCCTTGATACACAGTTTCAGTAGGAATAGTGGAGCGTGGAAACAGTACAATGAATTCACTATTTGTTGCTAAACTATTCGATGATTAACTAGTATTCTGATGTGTAACTTATTCTTCAGCTTCCCTAACATTGAAGTCAGTCAGTCAGTCAACTACAACGTAGGACCAGGCACATTGAAAGTTGACAGTGGAAGATTTTGCACCTTATCTTAATTTATATCCACATTTATCATACTCAACACTTTAAACAAGTTTACTTCATCTTTCCAATTGTCTTTTTAATAAATTTATCCCTTCTGTTGTTTTTTTTATCGCATTTTTTTAAAACTAGGGACATGGTTTGTACAATATCTCGTTACGTTGTTATTGTTGTACTACTTTTTAGATATTCCACACTTAATGTTTACTTCCATTCCATAATTAATTAGAAATGTATAAAATAATTATGTCTACAATTCAATGTCTTTTTCATTATTGAAATGTTTTTTAATCGTCGTACTTAAAGACTTACTTTTTATATATAGGTTGTATTAATATTTTTATTTATTTGTAATAATTTAGTAAAGAAGGCAAACCTAAAGTACCAGTTATTATGGCTTGTCCATCTGAGGGTAGAGCAAATATTCATCCATCGTCAGTAAATAGTAAAATTCAACCAACTGAGCCTATATGGATGGTCTATTTTACAAAAACTAAGCTTAAATCAGGATCTGTAAGTTTAACCTTTTCTTTAATAAAAAAACTGATTGATTTAATTAGTTATATTGACTGATACTTTTCTCTGCAATCATACCATATACATGATTCGAGCTATACAATCAGATATCATTTTGACAACTATTTCGTAATTTTTATGATCGATAACATTATATAATTATTATTGTGGATGGTAAATTGTAGGCTATCTTTCATCTTTTTAAAAATATCCTTTCGGAAAGCAGTAATTCATAGATTACTAAATGAATATATTTTTTTTTTATCGCATATGCTATTTCAATTTGCATTAATAATGTCTTAAGCTGAAATCATCTCTCATAACGATTATTATAATATATAATACTTACATTTAAGTCACTGACATTTTCAGCGTCATTTGACCTGTGACGTAATCTGTTTGACTTGGTGACTAAAATACTTGACTTTTAGTCATTGTTTTATAAACTTAACTTACTTTTGTTTTAATTCGCTTTTGGTTATCTGAAAGTGTCACAAACCCTCACAACTAAATTTTGATTCGAGAATCCATAGATGAATTTGTACTTAGTTACTGATTTGTATGAATTTAAAATTAAAACGTCAAGAATCAACGGATTAAGATCATTACATTCAGTCTTTATAAGCTGTTTCCGTAAAGTTTCTAAGAAGTTCTTTTCCCAGTCAGTCTATGATAAATCGGGAGAGATTAATGAGCAGTAAAATTTTATTTGACTCGTTTCTTGTAGAAAGGTTAGTATTTGACTTTACATGAGTTAAACTTAATTATTTGAATGGATTTTACCTGCTGGAAACAGTGAGTTTTTAAATACTCTTATTTTCAATGATCACACAATATATTTTGATATTTCGTAGTACTGCAGTGCTGCATAAAGCATATGTCTTAATTATTTTGTCTAGTTTATAATCTGTTTTTGAAACGTGATACCTAGAAAATTGTCTTAACAACTCCAATAGTTTCTGTCACTTTTGCTATACATGTAAGCGTTTCGGTAAGAACAATTAAATGCTAACCTTTAAATTCAGTTTCATAAGGATGGTCATTCTGTCTGTTACACCGAAAATTAACCCAATTCAACAATCACATACTAGGTTGTGAATCGCATCTGATTTACGAAGGCTTATGGAATATGTTTGAATTTATCATCCATTGCCTGATAACTCCGAGTTCTAACTGGTTACTACATACTATTTCATGTAGTAATTTTCCCAATGAGCACAAATTAGAATTCCTAACCTTTCGCAACTGCTTCAGAGAGTGGGCAAATAAATAACTGCACTAAATTAACACACTTTTGAGTCATCTAGCCTAAAGAATGAAACTTCACCCCCCTCAGCCACAAACCTTTTCCACCCCAAATCAGCACAAAATCAGATAGTAGAGATAAATAATGCAGAATATGTTGTTAAACGAGATCCTTATGGAAATTTAAGTTTAACCACTCACCGAAAACCAGGACATTTAACTGTGCACATCCATTCAGTGCAAAGAATTTTCATGGCTCTAAATCTATTTAGAAGAGCTACCAAGATCATTAACTCAGAAGGTAAATTAATGGGACAAAATAACATACTAAACATCTTACGATTTAACGATTTTCCTAAGAATCTTATTAAAAACGTATGAAAATAAACGATTTATCTTTAACTAACAATTCAAATGAAATATCATGTATTGGTACGGTAGTTTTACCCTACTACCACGGTACGACGGAAGAATTTCAATGTATCGTCCATAAAACAGCTAACACTTTTCGAAATCCTATGATTCAAATAAAGGAAGAGATCTCTTTTACTTTACACAAAACTGTGTCTACAAATTATATTGTATCGACTGTGATGTTTTATATATTAGGAAGTATTCTCTTGAAATCCTGACTCCAGCCAAAAAACATCTAAGCTAACTAAAAATACTTAGTTATCGTGTACAATTTGATAAGCTTCGAATAAAATCAGCAATAGCAGTGGTTGTCATCTTCAGTGACCATAAAATAAATACAAAAGACACCGAGATAATTCAAAAAAGCTTTTCCATCGATATAGGTAGGTGAGTAGCTCTTTATGGAAAAAGGGCGTGATGATCATCCAACTTGGACCGTTTGTCCAAACAACTACACTTAATTTTATTAATTTCTGACTTTTAATACACACATACATACAAAAATTTCACATTGTTCACACCCACCAGCGTATACACAAATATACACTGTAATGTCCCACACACACCTTGACCGGACAACAAAACATCGATATAATCAAACCTATTTTATTTTGATTAGATTTGACATTCTATCCTGGTTCCGTTTACTATTTAAACCTGTATTAATTTAATTCAGTTATTTATTTACTTTCTCGAGAAACGGCTTAAACTAAATAGTTGTGAGTCGTTAAAAATTCTTATTTCTACTCATTAGGATACCACGTATAAATCATGATTTTATTAATAACATTCTATCAAATGCTCAATTTATTTAAAATTATGAAGTCAAATTTTGGTGTCAAAAAGGTCGTATAAAATGGAAATGAAATAATTATGTTAATTAACTAGAAGCCAACTTGTTATGCTGAAATAACTGATTATGATTAAACTACTATTGTGATCCTAATTTAAACGTAGCTTTTTAGTTAATATATATTGTCACGTACACAAGTTTATAAGTATAACTTTCATTTTATTGCTGCTGTGTAATAGACTATTTTTGCTTCATTATCTTAATCTTATTTCCTTTGTAGTTAGCTATGAGGTTTAAATCCTTAAATGTTATTTCCTAAATAACTTAAACAATTTTTAATACTATATAAAACTAAGTTATTTATGCAAAACATTCTAACTATTATTTGTTAAATTTTATTAAAGTTTGTATCTAAATTGACTGCCATCAGATAAACATAGTAGACAAACCCAGCTATCATATTGTAATGAACGAGAACAATGGCGCCGACAACCAAATGTATTTCAACAAAACATTACAGAATATCGTGGTAAAATCTGAGAACCGTACAGTAATACTTCATTTGCAAAATATCCATCAGTTTTCTCAGACTTTGTTGTTCCTTCGTTTCTATACCACTCACTCTCTGTTCTCGTTTCCTCTTCAATTTTCTCAACCTCCTACCGCCGGGCATTTCACTTTCGATTGTTGATATATACTACTTATATCTGTCGACGTCAGTAGCACACACCGTTGGTTTTTGTCTACTATAATCAGAGTAATGAAATAAGCAAGGCGATTTCCGGTGAAAAAAAAAGGTGTAATAGAAAATGTATACAGTGATTGAGGAGGTTCTATATGTTTATAGTTTGATCGGAACTACTGACAAACGGGGACTAATGTTGTCCAAGACATCAGTTGTCTTATGTCTAATAATACCTATTACACAATTCTTTGAGTAAACTTCCAAATACTTAACACCAGAAATTGTACTTTTTAGCGCTTGATTCTTGCTCGCTGTTTTAATCACTGAATAATTGAATGTTCTCCTAGGGGCTAGAAACAAGTTTATTTAAAACAGTTCAATAATATATCTAAATCTCATACTTCAAATAACATCCAAAACCTATTTTATTTCATTTGTATTTTTACATTACTTATCAACTAGAAGAAGTTATTTATATATTTCTTCAAGAATGAGAAAATGATGCTTGCATGTCTAAAATTAACTTTTCCATTCTATCATAAATTTCATTTAGTCAGGTTCCAAAGTAGTCTAATCTTCATTATATATTTAGGTCAATTAATTTAGGGCGTGACCGATGCTGAAATCATGTATACTTTTGTTTCATTATATTACGGATATGTAATCAATTTATGCAAGGTGTTAAATTCAGTTTTTCAACGAAACCATCTTCGTTTTCACGTGAGCATCGTATCTAATTGGTTATTAACTACAAAACTTGGCACTTCATCTCATTTAATATTTTATGCTTTAGCTTACAGTGGTTCTTTTCATATTTTTTCAATCTCATTACATTTATTCGGATCGCTATTCCACCATAATGATGTATATCTAATTTTACTGCCATAAATATGTAAACTTTACAACAATTTTGATTTTGGATTATTGTAAGTTGTAATCAGCTGATGAGAACGTAATGGAATAAAATGAATTCATTGTTTTTTATCTCTTCAATGAAATTTAAATGAACATTGTAATAAAGAAGAGACACTTCTACCATCTCACATGTCATTAGACAGTTAAACACTAATCAAACTTAAAACAATCCACAAAAATACATCCGTTTTATCCTTATCAGCACTATTTTGATTTATTTTGAAGTGTGTAATCTAGAGGTTAAGACTATCGAGTTTTTTGTAAGCAAAACTCATACCTTAGTATTCAGTGATTCTCAATTACCACTTCATACTTGATTGTGTTTAAATTTCTACTTACTCCTTTACGGTAAGTGGTGGCTTGGTGATATATACAACACTATTGTGTGTACGTTCTGAGTAAATGATGATTTTCATACAGCATTAATTTCCATACTCTATGACAGAAAAGTAGATCACATTGCAATTAATGTCATCACTAATATTGTTTACCTAGAATATAATCAAATGATTTTTCTTTGAATTAATTTATCTATAGTCATCACCCTATCATCCCAACTAAACATAGATATAAAAATCGCTGAGCATTTTTGAATTATTGCTTTTCTCTGTAACGATGATAATAATAATAAACAATAGAAAAAAGGTAATAACTACTTTTAATCTTTTGATTTGTTTTTCAGTGTCCATCCATATTCGACTCAACTGTCATATCACTGAGACCTTTGTTATTTTTCAGCGGTAATATAGAAATATCAAAGGTTAGTGCTTTATATACTGTTAAGCATACCATTACTATCATTATTTGAGGTGAACTAATACTTTATTTCTTAATTATAACTATGAAAAATCTAAATTTTCCAGCATAATACATTACTTTTAAATTACAACAGAAATTCTGTTATATTTTTCTTTGTAAATAACAGATTGTTAGATTATGTAGAAGCTGAAAAAGTTTAATGATGAATTTTTATAGTTTTACCTAAACTATACTAAATTCAGAAGATAAAATTAATAACGCTTAAATTAGACGATTTGCAAAAGATTATTTGAAATCACAATTTACTAGTCTACAAATGTTTCTTTCTTGTTTTGTCTCGCATTTATTCATAAATATCAACCTTTTATTAAAAATTACTAATAATTATTACCAGTTTTATATTTCAGACTTTAGTTGAAAAATCAAATGTCTAAGACTAAGATTCGTGGTATGTTAATCAATATGTTGTTGTAAATAATCCTTAGAATATCTTAAGAGTTTCGAAAAGTCTACAAATTGAAACTTTCCACACTGACTTACAATATTCAAATAACGTGTTACACACAGAACATTCCCATTTTCTAGTTTGATTGTCCTCGAATTATGTCAGTTATGAGTAACACTAATATACGCAAAACGTAGTGTGTTGGAAATTGGCTCCATTTGTCCAAACACTAGCCTATTCAAGTATGAATCAGCTACATATCTTTCAGTGTTTTATGCTCAAATTCTTACTCCCGAATACTGTTATAAACGTTGCAGATTAATCTGTGTTGTTTTTGGCTTTTACTCAACAGAAATCGAACCTGTCCTCAAGACAGTTATACATTTTATAGCTTGCTGTAATCAAGAAATTCAATATAAAACATATGAAACAGAGTATTGATCTGCTTATGTAGCTGATTGAACTGTCTGATTTAGCTTTGATTGTTTGACTGACGTTTGTGTACTACTGACCGAGTTATGGGATCCAACTGTTAACCACCAGTTGCTTCGACTGTCGAGAGTTCTCTATAACCAGTTCGTTACTCTACTAAGTACACTTCATAATGATAGCGTCCGAGTCAGGCTTTTAGGTTCGGATTTGAATCAGATTAATAACTGATTTTATCAATTAACAAAGCATACAAATAACATATTTTGCATCTCATATTGTTTTAAAGGATTTTGTATTCGTATTTCTCTCATATTTGTGGTAAACATCTCAAAATAGTTAGTGGATCTTTTCACAGTTCATTTATTCTGTATGCTTTGTGACTAATAGATTGCAGTTATCATACTTTAAAAGCACTTCTGCAATACTTTACTGTTAATGAAAATAAAATAATAAATACATTTCCTTCTTTGGTGCAAGTGATGATTATTTCAGTTATGATGTATGGTACTCGTCCATACGAGAAATTACTTATAAAGATTTCGTTGCCGGTTTACTGGAATAGAAATCTAAATCTTTACTTGGCATGAAACTTTTTAAATGATGAATTATTTTATATTGCATGATCAAAAAATATGGACAAGAATAACTGAATGTAAGCTCTATGATTCTTGATAAAAAAGAAAAGTCATATCTCCTTAGAACCTTATCATTCAAATAACAACACGGATGTTTGGCCGTAGCATTGAGTAATGCAATTTTAGATCTATCCTTGTTTTGAGTTATAAATATTCTTTGCTAATGAATTCTAGCATGTACTGTGACCAAGTCTGAATATTTCTATCAGATACCGCTAACGATTCAGTATCAAATGCAATATCGGGTTATTTAGCTTACTAACAACATTTTAAAGTTAACTGGTGAAACTGTTAGCACTAAATAGGCATAGTCTGTTACACAAATAATCACTTTTTAGTGTCAGAACCTATTATTTTTCCTTGTTTGACAATGCATAAAATTATTTTATGTAGTATGCGTCAGCAAAAGGTAATAAAATGTTCCTCTAATTTTATAGAATGATACAAGTCTTTTCACCATTGATCAATGGATTAAATTCAGCGGGGAGTTAAAAGTAGTCAATTTATTGAAAGTTAGTTGCAAAGTGATTAAATCTATCCTTTCCTATTGACTGATTTTTTAATTAATGTGTATTTACATACATTAATTTTACATATAAACCCTCGAGTTCATATAAAGTAAGGTTCACTGTTACGTAAAGTTACACTTTACTGTGTCAACAGTGATCCAATCACTCTTGAGCGCAACACAATATATCATTTCATAATTTTCGGTGACTGATTAATTTGATAAACCATACATTCTAGGAACCTATTATTTCTCAGGTCTTTTGAATAAATACTAATGCCACTTCTATGCTTAGTGTTTGAATAATATCCTTGGATATTTTTCAAAACTAGCATTGTGGCTAAAACAGAATACAAAAACAACTATGGTTGCAATAATAATTCATGTACTCTGTCATACACCCACAATGCACTATCAGCAAGTAAAAGTGTAAACTTTCCAATTTCATCTGGAAATCAGGCTATTTTATCTTCATAGAAATGAATTCATACTAGGAAATGATAAAAGCACTGTAGCATAATTTCTGACTACGGTTCAACTCGTCATTTTGTAGGGAGTAAGTTTTTGTAATACATGTGGTGTTACCGTACGGGAGACAGCTCAGTGATGACGTCCCAAACTGTGAAGCTGAGTGACGCGGGTTCAAATCCTTCGAAGCACATCATTTCTCCACCAATTACTGGTGTACGTTGCTGATAAATACTAATCAACAAGAAACCTACATCCAGAGTTGCTTGCTGGCGATCCTCAACCATACAAAAGGATTTTCTAGTATAACATTTTTAATTAATGACTACCTAATGAAGAAATGGTTTAAAATGAATGAGATGAAATATCTTTTTTAAATGCAGTAGAAGAATGTAGATCACACATTTTTTTAGTGAAATATCATTGTTATTGTATTCTAGTATACTTATATATGAAAAAGTTTATCGATAATTGTACTATATAGCATAGTGAAAAGAAAAATTATCAGTATGTATTAAGAGTCCTGTCTGGAAAATATTGAACTTTGTTTCTGAAATACGCTTTCCGTTTATTTATCCTGAAAAGAAGTCTGAAGAGTTAACTAAATATCCAATATGTTTTGATATCTGTAAAGTAGTATCTATTCTTTGATCAAAATAATAGTGCTCACTAGCGATTAGTTTCAAGACGTTTTAATGAAAAGTTGTTTCTGGGCGATTTAAATCTCGTTGGGAGTGAGATAGATATCGCCAATAGTACTACCAGTAAACATAAGCGTTTGACTGAAAACGTAAGAAAATAAATTTAAGTTGCCCTACATAACTTTGTCAAAGTCCATGGATCAAACACTAGACTACACTGGTTGAAATCAGTTTAGGAGCATGTGTTTTCTCATGATGTAAATATATTTTGAGCTTTAAAAATCTCGATTCACTGATGTGATTATTCCTTTTTTATTGAATTTCTACCCTCTTAGTTTTCTAGTTTTAAAACCACATTAAAAGTCGATTTTTATCGGTGCTTCATATACTGCGTGCATTGGCACAAAGTTAGGTCTACCTACCTACCTTAGCTACTGATCATAGTTGTGATTCCTATCCTTTCTGGATGTTCTATTATAATAATATGTATGACATTTTTACAACTGTAGATCGAAACAAAATATCTCTAGAGTTAGAAGTCGCTGAAGTAATTGGTTTTCATGATCCAGTCATATTTTTATTAACAGAATATTACCTACTGTTATTTTTACCATATCGACGACCAAAACTCTATTGAGATTCGTTTTCACATATATCAACCAATGCTGCACCAAATTAATGTCAACATTCCTAATCAGTCAACTTCGTGTTGGTTGAAGTCTATCGGTCGGATTCCTGAATGGTTCAGCAACTAGTACATGTTTTTTGGTGTTGCGTTGTTTGGAATCAAATTGTATTATTTTATATACAGTTTTGTTCTTTTTGCAAAAAAGGAAACATGTTCTGTTTTCTTAGCAAACATTGAACAACATAAACGCACTAAAGAGAATGAAGACTTTCCAGCAAAGGAGAGTTTCTTTATGGCAATATCATTCTCTTAGACTGTGTAATTGTATTTACAGGTAATTGGTTACATTTAGTAGCCTGTAGTAAAACAGAAGAGTTATGAAATTATCCATAGTCAAATTTACTCAACTATCGAATGTAAAAGTCTACAAAACCAATGTGGTTTTACATCACTTAATAAAATCATCAAAGATTATTGTTAGGATAGTCGGAAAAATATACCAATAATTATCGTGTTAAGTCTATGGTGTCCTTGGACCTTAAATGTACATTTCTTATTGGTCGATGTTTATTTCACTTGTTAAATATTTTGTAAATGTTGTTTCCTATTTTATGGTACGATGTGGTGTGCTTGATTGGTATATAAACAAAGTATGTCTGAAATACAACGATTCATAGCTCAGAGGCTGTGACTTGTGTTTCTTGACTCAACTGGCTAGGACAGACTGCGAAGCGGGACCAATCAGGGCACTAGGTCGTCCATACGTGTTTACGTATCCACTGTCACAGAGGCGATCGATAAATACGCTGCTTATCAAACCCTGCAGTCTGCCACACACGCGTTACAACAATTATCAAGCATCGAATGCGATAATCTATGAGTTGGTGTTATTTCAAAGTAACTAAAGTCATCAAAAGTTTGCAAGTATTGATAAAACAAACACATATAACCTCACAATATTATTTCAGTTCCTAATGGATACTCCCTCTTATAGGAAACAGATGACAATTCTTTATCAATTTTTTTTAGTCGCATTTTTTATATGCATTCATGTCGAAATTTCTTTTAGGATTTACGGAAATGCATGGATGGACTGTTGGAACAGAAGTTTAAAAGTCCTAGCGTGGTTAACTGGGATAGAACAAATAAGGAAGGACGACTCCTTCAAACTATTGTGGATCTATTAACAAGTGAACCCCCGCCAGCTGTTCAAGTTGAGAAATTAAACTTAAAAACATTCTCCCTAGGCATCCATAAATAGTTATTCGCACCACTAACAACCCTGTAGATATATGTTTTAACAATTCTGTTTGTTAATGACTTAAAATAAATCTTGTCTATCAAGAAAAATAACTTTTCGATCCGTTGATTTGTGCATTGTGAGTTCGATTACTTAACATTCAACAGGCTTATGTATTTTTGCACAGAGAACTAATGTTGATACCCTATATACAGAAAACTTCCAAAATCAAACAAGTTATCATCGTGTGCAAGAGAAAAGTTGTTTATTTATGACTCGTGTAAATTCTTCTACAGTCGTAAATCCAAAAATCTACCACATGAATGAAATCACTGTATGTTAAGAAGCGGAAAGGAAAGGGTTCTTATAGTCAGTAAGTCAATGAACAAGAGTAGCATCCATTAACACAGTATTCAGTTAAAAAATTCGCTCAAGAAATATTTTACTAAAATAGTAAACTGTCAAATTTCATACTAATCGTCTTCTATCTTCAGTGTTGTGGTGATACGAGTGGTATCTGTGTTTGTTGGCCCAATGTGTTGAAAGTGATCATAGGTGTAAAGTCGGTCTGATAATCTGCCATTCCCAGAATACACATACGTCTTCGGGTAAATCAATGGCCTGAAATATCGTCACATACATGAGACTCTGTCATATTGTGACGACCCTAACCTATCTGATAATCTTGAACAACATATATAAGCGAACAATATTGTTTTCGATTAGGTCCTCATCAGGCTTTACTCTAATATACAGTAATATTTATATGCATATACGAAATTATTAAATCAACCAAGGTAGTTTATAAGTCAATGATAACAATGAAAACGATTACGTAATAAGTGAAACGTGAAAAGTACAAATTGATGGTGTGACAACAGGTGCATTAGTTTTTGATAAGAATAATAAATGTTCAAACCAATGTTACATAATCGGAAATAGGTCAATGATTAGAAAAATATAGAAACTGAGATAACAATTATAAGATGACGTAATAAGAAATGTTCAGATAATTGGACCATGAAACGTATAGTTGAGAGAAAATAAAGTGGTAGGAGGGGGTGAAGAAAAATAATAGACGAAGGGAAAGAAAAAGAATAAATAAATTCTCTTATTATCAAAAGGGGCTTGTGGGGCCAGTAGGTCCTGGGTTCGAATTCCGTAGGGTGCGGGATCGTGGGTGCGCACTACTGGGGAGTCCCATACTAGGACGAAACGGCCGTCCAGTGCTTCCAGGTTTTCCATGGTGGTCTAGCTTCAACTGACTCGTGATTTCAATCTGTGAAAAATTCATTTATTACTTAGGGCCAAGGGAGAGATAAGGGTGTTACAAATTTCTTCTGAACCCAAAGACTTGGCTTGTTGGCTCGGATTCCTATAGCTTCTGCTATATGTAAGAGACGAGATCGAACACCATAAGGGAAACTAGTGGGAATACGATAAATACTTTGAACGACTTGTTTCTGTCAACTATATGACCGCTATCGATCAAGTGTGATAGAACCGAGCTGCGTATTGTTTTGACATAACCTTTTCCTAACCACGAAGGGAGGTGTTCACCAACTCGTTGGTTCAGTTGCCTGGTAGTGCGCCCAATATAGCTTTCTCCACAGGAGCAGCTGAATTCGTAAATACACATAGAAGTGGAATAACCAGGTAACTTATCCTTCAATTGCGGAATCATCATCGATCGGGTAGAATACGATAGGCAGAGGTTGGCAGCACTAAACGTTCTCTTTACTGCTCTAGTCAATCTATCCCGTAATACATCGCTAGCTAAGTCAGTGGATATCCACTGGGTTTCCTGAAGAAACACTTGCGGGTACAAAACAAGAAAACAGTGACTCTGACGGCTAATAAGAAACCGCTTTTCTTGAAGCTGCAATTCAATGGTGATTTAACTAGCGATGTATTACGGGATAGATTGACTAGAGCAGTAAAGAGAACGTTTAGTGCTGCCAACCTCTGCCTATCGTATTCTACCCGATCGATGGTGATTCCGCAATTGAAGGATAAGTTACCTGGTTATGCCACTTCTATGTGTATCTACGAATTCAGCTGCTCCTGTAGAGAAAGCTATATTGGGCGCACTACCAGGCAACTGAACCAACGAGTAACACTAAACAACAATGCCAGAATGTTTGCGATGCACTTCTCCCCCTCTAAATGCAAGTTGTCTCTTCAGGACTGGTCTGCGTCAACACCTGAACTAAGGATAGGGAGTGAATTAGTCGAACGCGTTGACAACTTCACTTATCTTGGAAGTCTAATCAGCCCAAATGGGTTGGTGTCTGACGAAATATCAGCACAGATTCGAAAAGCCGATTTGGCTGTTGTCGACTTACGTCACCTATTGCGAGGGCCAGATATCCGTCTATCAATTAAGAGGCGAGTATACTGCGCGGCAGTCCGTTCTGTTTTTACGGCTGCGAAACGTGGCCATTAAGAGTTGAAGATATCCACAAGCTACTAGTATTTGACCACAGATGCCTTATAAATATTGCTGGGATCACCGGGTAAGTCATAGTGAAGTTAGACGCAGGGTACTAGGGAATGATGGTTGTGAATCTTCATCGACCGAAATGGTTGGACCACTTGTTGCGTATCCCTGAATACCGATTACCACGACACGCTGTAAGAAAATTAAGAGCGGCCAAACCAAAACGTGTAATCAGTGCTTGAAGTCACTAACTTCTAGTCTTGGCTATGTTGGTAGATGCAGACCACTTGGTTGGGGTCTGCGTGACTATCGTAACCACCGGTTGGACACTCTGGGTGACATGGCTCAGAATCGACCACAATGGCGTAGGTGTATACACACTTTATCTTCCCTTAAACTATGAGATTAAAGTCGCTTCATATCTTTCTTTCTACAAACTAATTCTTTCTTCCTGTACTATATCCTTATATGCAATCTTTCTTTTATATATTACTATCATTGAAGTAACTACTATGAATCTGGTGTTCATCTTGTTGTGCTAATGAAGTGTAGCAACTTGGACCGATGCTTATATGTGCCACGTCCTACGTTGTAGCTGACTGACTGAGTTATGTGCGTCGGTCCAAATTGTCACACCATATTAGTGTATTGAAATAAAGATATCAAGCCGAATCCCAGAGTAGTAGAAAAGGTTAAGTGAAGAAATAAGTCGTAAGATTTCGGGATTCAGGGACTCGGAGAAAATAAATAGTGAGTACATCTATCTTATTTTGAGAATTTCGATCCCACCCATTGATTGCGCGGACCCCAAGTAGGCAATCTGCACGTACCTAAGTGGTTCATGCCAATGGTCAATGACTTCATGAGCTGATGAACGTTGAGGTTTTTCCCCCTTCGCTTCCTTCCAACCTATTTCTACACCAACCATCATGACCCGTCAACGTAGGCGGTGACTGGGCATACGTAACAAGTTTCAACCACCTCGTTTGATCAAGATTTACTACCTCAACAACCGACTACCCACCTTTACCAAATACTCTGCGTCTGACCTGAGCAGCTCTTATTCGGTGGTCCCAAAATGCACGGGAAATGGTTCAAAGACATCTATGGTGGAATACTAGTAACCTAGGTATATCTACTCTCAGTGGCCATGCTTCACGCTCATAAAGTAGAACGGACTATCTTAAACTACCTGCTTGAGTGTTTAATCTTGTCACGATTGGTACTTCTGAACGTTCGGCGTTCTGTAGTAGAGAAGAAATCTTCCTGTAAAACTTGTCCTTAACTTCACTCGAACTGCAGTCATTGGGAGGGCGGGCAGATACGACAATGAGACAACGGCGTATGTCCCTATTTCTCCGTGTTCTTACTTTCCTGTTTAATCTTTCATCTTCAGAGGTTGTTTCACAGCCACAAGATGAAACAGAACGAACTGCTAAACAGTACACTCATCCTGAGATTGGCAGACAGAAATCTCGCCTACGCTACCGGTTGCACTAACACTTAGGTTATTCAATCGTAAATCAGCACATTAAGTAATACTTCTCAGCAACTTAACTGATTAGCCTCCTTTACAATGTAAATATATGAATGCGATCAGTTTAAATACATGATTAGATAAACCCCAATGCTGACAAGAAATTTAATGCAAAGTTGACAGATGGTTCACTTACATGATAGGCTTCTAGCATATTCTTTAATTGGTCGCAAACTTTACAACTAACTATATGTTTAGTTAAAACAGCTATAGCCATACGAGTCAGGTTAGTGCTCCATGAAAGTCTATTGTATTCCCTGGTAAGTCAGTGTTTTTAGTAATACTTAAAATGTAATGTACTGTCTCACGCGCGGTATGGAGTCTAAAATTGCCCAAGCATTGATATTATGCTTCCTATCTGAGAGTTTTGAAGGGATTTCAGAACTAAGCAGGCCCACAAATAATTCGACGGATCAGGTTTTAAGCTGAAATATTAACTCCTACCTCTAGAAACTTTCTACTAAAACTTATTTCGAGGAATAGAAATTATTATGGTCAGCTAATTAAAGTTGTTAAAGACCAGCTATCACTAAGTGGTTTTTCAAGACAATTTCGGGATATCCATAGGCGATTTCGTGAAATTGCTACGCAAGTACATAACCCTTTGCGTTATGAAAAATAAGAATACCTCTTTTGCCCATAATTTGATTTTTAAAGTTAAAAGCAGAATCTACTGTGATTACAATTCGCACATTATGTTCGCGTATTGTGCCGGTATACCAATTATAAGGGTAGGTACCTTTAACCTTTTGGCTTTTATTATGCCTAATGATAAGTGTTATCACGGGCTTTAAATTTTACAAATGTTCATGAAATATATGCGTATTCTGGGTTAATGCCAAAACCTCAACGGGCATATAAGAGTTCGAGCTCAACCATATTTAGCAACAGAATACCTAAATCCTCAAACAAATGTTGTTTGCTGGTAAATTCAAATAATTACTATTTGTTAAATAGATGTTTTATTCAAAGCACTGTACATATTTGGTATTCACTTTCCTTTTACTAAAATCAAGACATTTCGAAAGAATTGTGTTCCTTTAGACTCTAGATAATTTGCTTTGGTCCTTTTCTTAACGCCTGGATAGCCTATTGCATCATATATCTGTTGACCTCGAAAACAGAATAACTGTTTTACCAAACTGGGATACTGAAAGGACATTCCTCTTAAAATCATGGAATATGAATTAATGAGTGTTCAACCAGGCCATATAGGTATCCTTCACAAATTATGAATCTTTTTTAGTAAAGCTGTATAGTCTACTTTTGTAAACAAAGGATCAAACACATTTCTTAATTTAAATACACTACTTTCATCCTTA